TGCAACAACCCTGTAATGTAGTCTAATTACCCCATTGGTGTGTTTTATATGCACATGCATGCAATTCTGGGTGCGTGTTGGATATGAGCAGAGTGATTTCTGACAAGCAGCAATGTGCATTCTCTGTATTGCTACTAAAGGATTCCACCTCCACCACTCTTGGTCCTAGGAACAGCACCACAGGTCTAATCTTTAGGTGTGCCATACTGCAAAACAAGGAGATATGGCAACACCTACCAGAATGTTGGTTCCAACCACACAGGTAGGGTGGGCACTTGAAATGCAGGTCCTTTTGAATTGGCGTGGAGGAGGAAATTTTGGCAGATGTAGCTTGCATAAAAACCCTACACCTGCTGAAACTCCCGTTCCCACGCAACTATTAAAGATACAGTAACACTGTCCTCCATTTCATGTGACCACCCTACACGCACAGCTCTCTTGGAATCTGTTGGTGTTTAGAAGAGGTTCTGATTATGATGCCAACTGCATGCTTAGTAAGAAATAAATCGTATTGTATTTACTGGAGCAAACTCATACTATGCGTAGGACTGCAGCTCAAATGCTAGTCCTCCCCAGTGAGAGAACTGTCTGTCTTCTAAACCAACCATTATCCATGGGGGCTGTATGGTCTATTGGGTGGGTGGGGGTCTGGCACATGCGAAGGGGGGCACATAGTGGAAACAGTTCTTCACACACCAGCTTATAAGGTTTGTTATGTGATTTATCCTGTATTTCTTTCACATTGTGTTTATGGTCATGGGCAAAACAAGATTGAGAATGGCTGTTCTAGACCAGGGGTCTCCAAACAACGGCCAGAGGCCACATCTGGCCCACCTTGCCTTTTTATCCGGCCCAGTTTGCAGGTGGGAGTGCATGCGGGTGTGCAGGCATGAGTGCATGTAGGTGTGGGGTGTGCGCACATCTTCCTTTGGCCCTCAAAAATGTGGAGCATACAGTGGGGTCTCTACTTAAGAACGTCCCTACTTAAGAACAATCCAACTTAAGAACAGCTCCATTTGCTAAATTTTGCTTCTACTTGAGAACAGAAATCCAAGATAAGAACAAGAAAAAAAACCTTTCCTGCTCTTTTTTTAACCTTAGGTCATTTTAGGTTAAAAAAAAATTCTCCCCCTAGTGGTAGAGTACGTATTAACCAGCTTTGCATTAGTTCCTATGGGAACTAATGCTTCAATCTATGAACGCACCTCTACCTAACAAAAAAACAGCCAGAACGGATTAATTGATTTTCAGTCCATTCCTATGGGAAATTTTGCTTCAACTTAAGAACGTTTCAACTTAAGAACACCATTCCAAAACGGATTAAGTTCTTAAGTAGAGGTTCCACTGTACATGATGTGGCCCTCCCGCTAAAAAGTTTGGGGACCCCTATTCTAGACCAACAGAGCAAGCATATTCATTCCCTAAAGATGGGGAAGTCTCAAACACTGCATCTTTAAAAATCTTTAAAAGGTATTGAAAATAGCAGGAGAACTATAGTTTAATATGGAGGGGCATTAGTTATGCTACAACAGTAGGAATAGTATTTGCACCTATTCAGCACATGGGGATGAATGTTTATTCATACTAAAGTCCACAGAATTGCCATTTTTATTAAAGACACCCCCAAATTTTCTCCGCAAGAGCCTGGGAGAGTTAACAGTATGCATGTGTATGTAACTATATGAATGCATGCACAAATGTGTACATAAAATCATGAACACACTTTGTATAAGTCTCCATTCCATCAGACACACTTCCCTGCAGAAATTCCAGTGACCCCAAAGAAAGAAGAGATGCATAATTCTTAAAGCACAACTGAGTGTGCACAGCATTGGTCAGTGGCCAGATCCTCCCCTTTCACTTGTACCTTAGGCTTAGGGTATTAAAAAGGTGCATGTTTGTGTATATAGCTTAACTGAGTCAGGTGTGTGGTGATCAAGGATTCTGGAGTTTGTGTAAGCATCACTTTCATTTGTGTGTAGCACAAATACTGTACAATAGGATAGTGAAGGAGATGCATGCAAGAGAGTAATTTGCAAGAATAAAAAAAGGGAGAGCCCATTGTAAACAATTGTGGTGGGGGAGAAAAATAATGAAACCATTGCCAACAACTGGGTCTCTGAGTGGGGCCCTGGTGACAAGTGGAGAGTCAACAGTCTCTACATAGGGTAGTGTGCAACCTCCAGGACTGAATAGCATGGGGTCTGTGGGTTGGCACTGAGGAGCATCAACACTCTGAATGTGTCTCCACCTGGCTAGATGCTGTCACCATCATCGCTGTGGGAGTCCACCTCTCAGTGGGAGCCATATGCTACAGGCTCAGGCCTCTCTGAATAGAAACCTCTCAGCAGCTAAAGCTGGTCAGGAGGATCTGGCTTCCCGCCTCCAAGCCAGCTCCCTGCCTACGCCTTCCTTTGCATGCAGGAACTGGCCCTGACTTCTGTGGGCCTCTGCAGCTGAGAAGGCAGGAGGTTCTCTGATGGACACTGCTGGAGGGAGGAGAAGTGTGTGCATGCATCTCTGTGTTTGTCTCTTATGTATTGAGTGGGAAGGGAACACAGTGGCACAACGGAAGTTCCGCTGCTTCAAAACCCACAATGGATGTTTCCTGTGCCACAAAGGGCATTCCAAAATAAACTCAAAATCAGCTCCCAGCAGCAACAGCAGCAACAACAACAGGGGGAAATATAAATTTAGGATTGTAGGGAGCTGGGAGGTTTCAGCACAAGATTGCTTGAAGCTGGGGCAAGTGAATAATATAGATGGATTTTGGGATTGTGCCTAGTGAAAGAGGAAAGGTATATTTGAATTAATTTATCAAACCATTTATATGCCAGTTCCTGCCCTCCCAGTTGTTTCTAAGGAGCTCTCCGTTGATTCTTGCAAACACCTCTTTTATATTTATCTCCTGTAATCATTTACTTTGTATGTATGTGCAAGCATTTCTTTTTGTTAACTCCAGAACCCCACCTGACTATTCACTCAGCTGAGCTAGCCTATATATGCGTTAATCCATGTAATTATCTCATGGCCAGAGGTGTTAAAAGTAAAAAGCAACCAACCACTGCTGAGCACTTTAGGAATTGTACCTCTGCTTTCTTTGCAGCAGCAAGGGGTGTCTGATGGAATGGAGACATACTTTTATGTATACGTGCATGCATGTATTAATACTGTTATACATATATGCGTATCGGTACTTGTCCTTGGCTCTTGTGAGAAAGGTCAGTGTTAGTACTAGGTGTAACGATGATGATGATGTGCCATCAAATCAATTTTGACTTATGCAGGGTTTTCTAGGTAGAGTACTCAGGGGTGGTTTACCATTCCCTTCTTCTGGGGGCACCTTGGGACTTTGCATCATGCCCAAAGCTACACAGGCTGGCTCCTCTCCCTACAAGGCACAGTGGGGATTTTAAGTTAGGACAAGGCGACAGTAGTCCTAAGTAATTGCCAACATCCTCAGACTGGGAGTAATGTGAATTTAGCACAGCTCCATCTGGGCTAGTGTCAGCTCAGTTGGCCCTCAGTCAATTTGGCTAGTGAAAACTGCACTGGCACAAAAAACCACAAGACCTCTCTCTGTTTCTACCAGTACTAAATAAATAACAATTCCCTATCTTTTCCTGAGTCTCAGAAGTAGGCACCAGAAGTTACTTCCTCCATCTGCCGAATGGTAGCATTAGTCCTAGAGAGTCCAATGCCAGCAATGTCATCTCCATTTAAAAAGATCAAGAAGCAGGTGATGCAGAAGTCTTTCTGTATCTGAGATTCTTAAGAGTTCTGCAGCCAATCTGAAAAAGCTGCGCTTGGTTAAGGAAAGAAGTTGTTTCATGTGGTATAAGAAGGCTTCCTATGCTCATGATGGCCTGGCCAAGGTTCATCAAGAATCATTTTCCTATGATTTTCTAATCTCAAGAGCTTCCTTTGCAAATGTTCACTGAGAAAAACATTCCGTAAACTGATTGGGGAATAAATGATGTTGTGGGTTGTATGCTTTTTAAAAATGTAATTTATTTACAAATACTTTTTTAAATTGACCCACTTTTTATTATATTACATATGTATTAAAAAGTCAGTCAGAGTATTCCAAATGAAAAAATAAATTAGCTTGAGGGAGAATGGGCAATGAATTTCAGCTGGAGTTTTTATGCTGCTAGGCTTAGGAGGCATGTGAAAACAGGGAAAAATTCCTACACAATGCTTTGTTTCAGTAACTAAATCTTAATTTCAGACACCAAAACATCTGCAAATCAGTAAGGGGAAGGATTATCTTATTTCCTTCACAGTGGAACTATTATATTATTCTATTTCCCCCACCCAACCCATGTCAATTAACTGCAGAAACGTATGGCATACGACAACGCCACTCCTTCTTTGCAGATGCGTGTACATCGGAATATGTGGGAACTCGCCCACCTCACCCCACGCTCTTCTGTACGCACATGCGCGAAGTCTGCATTTCTAAACAAAGTATCCATGGACGTGAACGCACAACTCGGCACGCTCACAAAGCACTGCAGTTCACTCTTGCATCCAGGTCCTGGAAAGCGGGGGGGGCAGAGATGAGACAAACAGAGCACGGATACACAGGCGTGCGATGCCCCAAAGCCGCCCCTTCAAAGCAGAGACAGAAATGTTACATTCAACTCGACGGGACGCACGTAATGCATCCCCTAAAAAAATAATAAAGGGGGGGAGGGAGGAAACACCACGCAAGGTTGCAGAACACGGAGAGGGGCATGCCGCGTGCAAAGTTCTCTCGCCCTCTGCACCGGTGGCATCGCGGGCTGTTGCTAGCCTTCTCTCCCCACAAGGGGCCCCCAGGAGGAAAAGGCACGGCGAAGTGGCTGAGGGCAGCCGGGCTGAAGAAGCAGGACGTGCCTCCACGTGGGCAGACCGGAGAGGAGAGAAAGGAGGAAAGAAGGACGGACGGAGCAGAGTCAGCTATCCTTCCGCCCCCCCCCCGCCCTTCTTTCTCCCTGCTGCTGCAGTTTTTCTGGTCCGAGGCAGGCGCTGCTGCCGGCCGCCCCCGAAACCTCCCACGCGCGGCAGCAGCTCGGAGCCGCCGCCGCTGTTCCATTGTAAATCCGGCGGCGTGGGAGGCAATTCCGTGCCAAAGGCTGAGCGCTGAGGCGCGCAGAGAGATTGAGAGAGAGAGAGAAGGAGGGAGCGGAGAGGAGGAGGAGGAGGAAGTGGAGGGAGCGGGGGAGCAGAGCGAGCGAGGGAGGGAAGCGCTGACGGACGGCCAGAGGCAGAGAGGGACCCTCGAGCCGGACCAAGGCGCCATCGGATGCCCTGCGCTTTCCCGCGCCGCCTTGCTCGCTCTCAGCCGAGAGGTCCCAGAAAGAAGGCGCCGCCGCCGCCGCCGCCGCCCGGGAGCCTGGGAAGGCCTTGGGTCCATGCCCCACGATCACACCCACCGGCCGCTGAAGGACTCCAAGGACGCCGGGAGTTTGCCGCGGAAAGCGAGTAAGTGTGGAAGGGGTTGGAGGCGGGGAGGGACGGTGGATGGGCACGACGAGCGGGAGGGAGGGAGGCATCCGGAGCAAGGGGATTGGGATGGGGGGGGGAGAGAAGGGAACGCGTTTCCACGGCGAAGGGGGGCTGGCGGCCGGGCGCACCGTGTCCTAATCCATAGTCAACCCCTTTTCATCCCCTGCACTCCATAAGAAGGGGGGGGGAGTTACTGGTTGTCCCGATCTTCCGCGATAATAAAGGACGGCTGCAAGAGGAAGCCCACGGCAGGAGCCTGTTCAATATAAAATGGCATAAAAGAGGTCCTGGGCTGAAGCTTTTCTTAAGGCCACGCCTCCTGCCACCGGCAACTTTCCGCGCTGGCTGTAATCTTAAGAGGTTTAGGAGGCGGCAGCGGCACATTGAATTTTGCACTTGCTCAGAGACACTTGAATCTTATCATATTTGTTGTCCAGAAATATTGCATTGCACTTTATGTATGTGTGTGTGTGTGTGTGTTGCGTGCGCGTGCATGCATGCATGCATGCATGTATGAGGGTGTGCGCGCGCGCGCGCGCGCATGCATGCATGCATGTATGAGGCCAGAACATGTATGATTGGACAGGATTTGAAGTTGAGAGAGAGAGAAAGAGGTCCCCCATCTAAGCTGCAAGGAAAGAAAAGTTGGCAGCATTTTTGGAAGAACTCATCATAACCCCATTTACCAATACAGATCTCCGAGGGAGAGTGAGGCTCTGGAAAAGCAGCAGTGGTATATAAGCAGCATGCTTTGCTTTGCTTTTGCATATTTCCCAAGCTCCCTAAAAGTTGATGGGAAATCTGTGTTCAGAAGTTTCTCTTAAATGCATAATATTGAGTGCTTCGTCGCTTATCCACCCCAATCACCATCATTTTCTCACCCCTCTACTTCTCCGTGGTTCTTTCCAAGGGTAAAAATGGGGCAGAGAGTCACCATCCATTACTGGGAAGTAACCAAGTAGCAGTTATTCCACTTGATGCCCGTTACTCTCCATCTCTATTATGTTAGAGCGGGGGGGACTTGTGGCCCTCCAGATTTGGTTGCACTCCGGTTCCCATCAGCCCCTGCCTGTGTGGGCAGCGTTAAACAGGATGGGAGTCATCGTTGAGCAACATCTCAAGAGGCACCGACCCTCCACCTTGTTTTGTGGCTAAGTTTGGGGGGAAATACAGGATGTGCAAGGGCAGATAAAGAAAGAACAACCCGTGGGTGTTTTGAGGATTGTGGTTTGTGTGTGTGTTGCATATGAAGCCAGGCTGGAGGTGTGTGTTCCAATGTGTGGCAAGCCTGAGGTTTCTACAGAATATCCAGATTACATTTTGTGTGTGTGTGTGTGTGCGTGCGTGCGTGCGTGCTTGAAATGGGGTTGGTTTTGTGCATGTAGAGAATCCACCCCCTCATGAGTTATCAAGCAGGAATTTGAACCCAGGTCTCCTGAGTACTAGTCTTTCTCTTGTATCCACTACTACGCCACACTGGGTATCCTGTTGAAGAAAGCAGAATTTAAGGCTGATTTCATCAGGCACGCACCGTGTCTCCTTTGTCAGCATAAAAGAGAGGCAAAGGGAAAGGGTGCAGCACAGGCTTGGGCCTTACCTGCACCACAAGGATTGCCTTGTTGCAGGAAGGGCCTCGGAGAGGGCTGGAGCAGGATGGGGCATCACACAGGGTTGTGTCCCTGTATTCCAGAATAACCTATGAGAGCCGCTGCATCAAATCAGAGCTTTGCCAAGCCCAGCCTTCTGTTCCTTCAGTGGTTGATTAGTTGCTTTTGAGAAGCCCACACGGAGGGCATGGGGCCACGGCAGCCTCCGGCTTGTGCTCTCCAGTAACTGGCAAACAAGGACCTACTGCCTATGGTGCGGGGAATAGTTAGTCACCGTCACTACTGGCCACTGATAATCATATCTTTCATGAACGACTAATTCCAAACAGATTCAGCTAAAATAAAACAACACAGGTGGGTTCCATATTCACAATCGAAGTGTTGATTAGCATCACTATCATCCTGTCCTGAAAGGATGGTCAAGAAGCAGGAGAGAAACTCACATAGAGTCTGCCTCAGAGAAGGGCAACTTGTGGACTGCAACTCCCATTATCTCTGAATGCGGTGCACAGGGTGATGGGAATTGTAATCCAGCAACGTATGGAAAGTCACAAGCTACCCACTGCAGGTCTCTCCCTTCCACCAAGCTTTGGATCTGTTCACACAGGCAAGTGGTGTCCATTTTCTCTGTCTGATCATGTTCTTATCTATCACATGGGAAAACACAAGTACAAACTGTCTAACAACACATGAAGAAACGCTCCCCCTCTTTTTTTCTCCTTTCATGCCAGTGTTATCATAGAGGTAGTGGCAGTGGTCTCTAAAATGAAGGGCTCGCAGTGCAAGTCCATGGGGGATCTTTGAGGAAAATGACTACCACTGCTTTATATGAACGAGATCTTTAACTAACCTGAGGTCACATGGGCAGATTAAAAATGGCGTGAATTGCACAAACCAAAAAATTGGTTTTCTTCTTTTTCTCCTTCCACACCTTTGTGGTGCACTCACTTTCTTCTCCCGATGGAGGATGGTTTTAATTCCTGTCTCAGGCATCATTTCCGCTGTCACAGAGCTCGCTCTGTCACTTTGCAGGTTGCTGGCTATGGCCTTGTCCCTGCCCCGCACCCTGGGCGAACTCCAGCTCTATCGGGTCCTGCAGAGAGCCAACCTGCTCTCCTACTATGAGACCTTCATCCAGCAGGGCGGCGATGATGTGCAGCAGCTGTGTGAGGCTGGTGAGGAGGAGTTCCTGGAGATCATGGCTCTAGTCGGCATGGCAACCAAGCCGCTCCATGTCCGGCGTCTTCAGAAGGCCCTGCGGGAGTGGGCCACCAATCCTGGACTCTTCAACCAGCAGGTGCCATCCGTCCCTGTAAGCAGCATCCCCCTCTTCAAGATCTCTGAGTCCGGAGGTCGCAAAGCACTTACCAATGGGCACACAAGCCCAGGAGAGACCCCTGGCAAAGCCAGCGGGACCTCCCCGGCCAAGAGCCCCTCGGAGCCGAGAGAGAAGCTGTCCCCCTTGCCAGCCATTCAGTGGGGCAACCCGGAGTCAGAAGAGGAAGGGGGATCGTCCTCGCCCACGGAGCACCCCTCGTCTGCAGAGCAGCTGGATCCAGAGCTGGTCCAGGCAGTGTCCGAAAACGTCGACCGTCTTCTGCGCAGCTGCCCTCGGGGTGGTGAGACAGAGCTGAGGACCCTCATGAAGCTGAATAAGAAGCTGGCAAAAACCGTGGGGCATATCTTCCGGATGGACAACGCAGACCCTCGTAAAGAGGAAGAGATCCGGCGTCACAGTGCCATCTATGGGCGGGGTGAGGCCCGGCGATTGGAGGGCAAGCAGCTTACACTGCATGAGGTGAGGGTGAAGGGAAAAGAGATGGGAGAAAGGGGGTGCCGAGCTGGGCAAAGAGGAATGGGGGGAACCTTTTATCTGGCTTGTTTATTTTATAGTTTCATACCCTGGCCTTCAGAAGTTCTACCTTTTGCATGTACTGTAAGATACAATTTCAAGCATCCAAAGAGCCAAATGTGAAAATATTTCATAAAATGTATCAATTAAATATAAAAAAATAGTAGCCGATTTTTGAAAAGGGTACTAAAATAGATGAACCATACTAAAAACAGTAAACAAAAGCAGCACCAAAAACACATTCAAAGCAGTAAGGCCCAACCATCCATTTAAACCCTCCACTCAGGCAGTCACTGAGGGAAAGCCTTTCTGAAGAGAAAGGTGTTTGCCTACTTGTGGAAGGACAGCAAAGATGGGGCCAGCCTGACCTCCTGTGCGAGGGAATTTCAAAGTCTAGGAGCAGCGACAGAGAAGACTTTCTCCCATGTCCTCACTAAATGCCCCTGTGAGGGTGATGAGAAAGGCCTCTCCTGGTGATCTTAACACTTAAGAAGGCTCATAAAGGAAGATGTGTCCTTGAGATAGTTTAGGCCCAAGCCACTTAGGGCTTTATAGGTTTCTGCTACAACCCTGCCTGCACCATCTTCACAGTGTTCCAGAGGTCCCTTGCCCTTACAGAGCAGATGTGTAGGGGGAGTGTCCAAAATGGTTCCTCCACCCAAAAACACCATCCTGTGCTCAGAGGTCTGCTCATAGGATCTCTGGATACAAGCTGCAAGCCGTTAAAAAGAAAAAAAAGAAATCCATTCCATTGCTACGCAGAAGGAGCAGTTGGGCTCATGTTCCCCCTTCCTTCCCAAGTTTCAAAAGCTTACTGTCCTTCTCCTCTTTCCCCAATAGACCTGATACCATGCTGTGGAGAGCATTTTTAAAGGGTTGCTTTTCAATGATAACTCAGAGCGCCATGCTTGTGTGTGAGCAGTGGTGGCTCTCCCCCCTGCTGGTGTTTCAGGTACTAGCCGATAAGGAGACATGTGCAGGCACAGTTCACACTGTGCTTGCTTGTATAACAGATCCTTTAGAGTGGGGAGAGCAAATGGATTTATAGAACACAAACAAAACAGGTACATTTAAGTGCTGAGAATATGTTGCAAATAGGAGGAAACCTATTGGATTCTCCACCTTGCATTACACTTTGGCTTGGGAAAGGATGAACATCGCTCAAGAGATGACACATCCACAAACACCCTTTTCTAATTAGTCCTTTTTTCTCCGTTTTTGTTTACCCAGAAGCAGCTGCCCGCCTCCTCGTATGGCCATCTCTTCCCCTCCCCGCACTTACCTCCAGCTCCATATTGCTTTTATAGAATCCTGCCAGATTCCTTCTACCTTCTGTGCCCATTGACTCCCCCAGGCAATCACTCGGTGTCCTCTCTCGTTTTCCCAGCTCACCATCAATGAAGCTGCTGCCCAGTTCTGCCTACGGGACAATTCGCTGCTGCTCCGTCGGGTGGAACTCTTCTCGCTATCACGTCAGGTGGCCCGGGAGAGCAGCTACCTCTCGTCGCTTAAGGGATCCCGGTAAGAACCAAAGCCTGAGGCTCTTCGTAGTGGTACAGACTGTCCTTGCCAGCAGGGAAAAGATGCAAAGCAGCCAAGATCAGTATCTTGTACTTGTTTCTGCCTGAACTAGCATTGGAAATGGTTAGCCCCTCCCCCCAGAAGTATAATTTACCATTCTGAGATCTGCAGTTCGAAAAATTAATTTTCTGAAGCTCCTCCTGCCTTTTCCTTCTAAATCAGTATCAAACTAGACACTTTGCTTTCCCATCAAAAAAGGAATGAAATGCTTTTCTTCCAAAGGTGGTTATTTAAAGCTGCTATGGCTGCACAGTCACTTTGCAGATTAAGCCTGTGGATCTCTTCCGATGATCGGCCAGCAAACAATGCAAGCTAATCTGCAGCTTACAGAGCTGGTGAAGCCCATGCTGAGCCCAGTCTGAGCTGAGTTCTGTGGAGCTGAATCAGATGTGCTCAGTGGGGGATAATGTATTGTATTATGATTACCTAAGTAGCATCTCAAGCATCAGGAAATAGCTTTAGCTAGCCCTGTTTGGCAAGTGGAGTTGGCTCATGATGTTAAGGAGCATGTCTTAGTGGGCGCTTCCCATGTCTGAGACTCTGACTGTTTCTTTAATTCAAAGAAAGCTTGTTCCAAACATAAAAGAAGACCATGATTTGGCTTTAAAAACTGGATCTCATACAAGCCTTGAGTTTGGAACTGGGAGAAGTTGCCTTTTTGGACTACAGCTCCCATTCACCAACCATAATTCCTTGAACTTGGGGAGCTCTGAAGTTGGCTGGGCAAAGAAGAACTTATTTTTGTGGTCAGATATTGGGAAAAAGTGATTTTTTGGACTGTGGTTCCCAGAAATTATTTATTTTATTTCTTTATTTAAAGTATTTTTACTCTGCCTTTCTCCTTGAAAAGGGCCCAAGGTGGATTACAACACTGAAAAACAATATTTAAAGTTGAAAACAACGAGTATACAATCTATATTTAAAAAATACCAAATGCCACTCTGAGAAATGGAAAACACTAGTATTGTAGTATTAAAAATCCACTCAAAGCAGTAATACATAACAACCCATGTAAAAATCACACAGCAGGTAGCTAGTTACTGAGGGAAGGCTTGCCTGAAAATAAAGGTCTTTGCCTGCTTGTGGAAGGACGGAGAATTCTGGGAGTAGTCCAAAAATTAACCTTTCTAGGCTCTGTGAAATCACAGGTGTCAGATCTCTCATTCAAAACATGGTAAGCCTGCAGCCCATGGTAATGTTGGTATGCCAACACCACCATCCAGGCTGCAGATTCCTATAGCTGCTGAATTTAAGCCTGTCCATGCAGGTGAGGTAGCCCATTTTGTGCAAACTGGGCAATGTTTGCAACAATGCGTGGGTTAGTTCTCTTTTACTAGCTGGCAGCCCTTTGGCATGGGCCTTGAGCTATATACCCTTTCAGTGTCCTTATGGCTGGTCTAGGGATGGACCTAAAACAAGCTGGGTGTTCTGACTCCCAGGTGACTTCTGTCCTCAGGTTGCATCCGGAGGAGGGTGGAGCTGTGCAAGCCAAGCGACTCAAGCAGGAGGTAAGCTGTGGATCCGGTTGCCATGGGTGTTTGCATGCTTGCTTAGATAAATGTGAAATCCTTTGCACTCTCCAAGGACTCTGTGAACAAGGATGTTTTTGCTGTTGTTGCTGCACACCTGGCTTCCTCCATCTGGTGCCTTTCAGAGATGTTTGATTACAGCTTCTGTCACCACCACCAGTATGGCTACTGGTGACGATGGGCATCGGTGCCCAGCATGTTTGGAGGGTGCTAGGTTAGCAAAGGCTGTGGAACATGTTCCTGTACATGGACATGGGTAGGTTTAGGATGGCCAACTCTTTCGGCCTTCACTGAAGCTCTGAAGACTGCTCACTTTTTTGCTTCTCAAATAAGCCAGCATGCAAGGGGATCTTTAATCATCCATTATGCCTCCTCCTGCTCAGGAAATTGTATCAAGACACCATAGTCTGGAACAAAGACAGTCTTTATTTTCAAGCCAGATGACAGACTGTTGTCATTATGTGCCAACTTACACCGACCCTAGTGAGGTTTTCAGTGCTTGTGAATTGTTCAAGGAGTAGTTATGCAGGTATTGTATAGCCTGCATAATTAAATTGTAAATTGCCCAGAGAGTGCTTTAAGTGCTGTGGGGTGGCATATAAGCAGCATAGCTTTGCTTTGCTTTACAAACACGGCTGACATCACATCTTTCATATGTGTCCTCACTAATTGTGTGAATTGTTTTGTAAGTCTCTGTTGTACAATAGGCATGACCCTGGCAGAATTCTCCCCTGATAACCACTGCTGATCACATGCCTTTGCTTATACAAGGAAGTGGGAATATATGATGACTTTTTGCAGTGTCTGCATGCATGTACGTGTTAAAGAGACCTTTGCCGGTGCCTTGATCTCTGCAGGAGCCTTAGTCCTTCAGCCTTTGCTAACTTTCGAATATAGCCCACTTTAAAAGTCCTTTGCCCACCAAACTGGGCATGGTATGTCTCTGCATCCATATGTATATGTGGGTTCTCTGCTATTGAAAGGGAGCCATGCAGGCTCATGTATATATGCATAAATATGTGTATGAGTTTGCAGGTGGATGTGCAATGCCTGAAGGCGTAGGTGGTGCAACAACAGCCATATGTTTGTGCACATATGCACTGACTTTTCTAATTCGGTGGCCATACTGGCCAAATTGCAGCAGTTTTGGACAAACCCCCCCCCCACTAAAGAGCACAGGTATCGATTATTTCTGGAGGTTTGCCGGATGGTAGTAGCTCAGTAATACAGGAGTGGAGACCATGCAATCTTCAGGTGTCGTTGGACTGAAATTCCTAGCGTCTCTTGCCATTATCTGCGCTGGCTATGGCTGATGGAAGTTGCAGTCCCACTTCTGGAACACTGTATGTTCCATTACAATGCAATAATTAAAAATATTAAAAGATATTAAAAGAGCCTCATGGTGCAGTGGTTAAATTGATGTACTGCAGCCAAAACTGTGCTCACGATCCGAGGTTCAATCCTAGGTAGCTGGCTCAAGGTTGACTCAGTCTTCTATCCCAGTCTTGCTGCAGCAAAGATAGACATGTCCTCTGGTGCGGTCATTTTCACTAGCAATGCTTTAGGAGGTCTGCTCTCAGATCTGCAAGAGAAGCATTTCCTTTTTGCAGCTTTTCCCAACAAGATGCCCTCCAGGTGTGCTGGTCTACAGCTACCATTAGCCCCAGGCAGCACTCCAAGGATTGGGCTGGCAGGGATGATGTTGCAGCCGGGAACATCTGGAGTGTACTAGGTTGGGGAAGGCTGCCTTACTGGTTAGCAGCAAGATAGACTGGGACTGGAAGCCAAGCTTAAAACAAAGGTCATACGAAAGAGTTGCAATTTCTCCTGCTGAGTCCTTCATCTTCCACCCTTTCTCCTTAATCTGCTGTAACTGATCAGTGTTCCAAGTAGACTGCATTGCAAGCAGGAGGGCACTGGGGAAGGATATTAAAAGCTGGGGCTGGCTGATATACTATATCGGAAGGTTGAGGACCACGCTGAATGATGTCCAAAGCTAGTTGCACTGGTAGCAGTGGCGTAGCATGGGTTGCCAACACCCAGGGCAAAGCAAATATTGTGCCCCCTCAAGGTCAGGGAACTCAGTGCAGGTGGATCCCCCCTGCACCTCACCTCCCCCTCCCCCACGTGGCTTACCCACCTACTTTCATTTACACCAGGGGGAGGGAGGCCAGGCTGCCTTCTCCAAGGAGGTGGTTCCACTCAGCCGTCACCAAACCCTGCTTCTGCTGCCTGCCTAGAGGGCGATAAAGTGAGCAAAGCAGCCACAGCCAGAAGGCTTAGACACTTTCTTGCCCGTTGTGTGCTCTGCCTTGCCCGATGGCTCCATGGCAGGGCTGATATTTTGTGCCCCAGGCAACTGCCCCTGTGGCCCTGCCCGTGCTACACCACTGCCTGGTAGAGATCCCACGTACTGTGGTTTTCCTCTGGAGGTGGGCACATAGCTGCTGTTCAAAAATTAATTAAAGTGCATGCTTAATACTTACCTAAATTTAACATCGTTCTTATGGTGGCCCTTAAAAATATATGAATATCATTGGATGTTGATTCCAGCAACTCTAATGAGGAAACTGTGTCCACTGACAGTGACAGTGAAATGGGGGGAAGGGGCACAGTGGCAAAATGAATAGCTAGTTTCTCTCATCTTTCTTGCTCATCCTCCTACAGATTGCTGAGCACAGCCGTTCTGACCTTCCCTTGGTCTGTGAACCCTTCCTTCCTCAGTATCGCTCTAGTATCGAGGAAGACACAGCCAGCTTGTCAGGAGAAAGCTTAGATGGACACCCACAAGGTGAGTTGGCTGGGGTCCGATTAAAACTTCCAGCCGTGGGGAGGGAGCTATGGAATGAGATGTTGAGGTTAGGATCTTGTAGGCTTTCACACATTTATGCTCAAAAGAATCTCCCTTCAGTACTGTTTATAACACACCAGGTAGCTGGCTGATTGCAAACATGGGACATGCTCCAACTTGTACATAATTTGGAAACATCTTCTCTCTTGCCTGCACTGCTCTGTGCTCAGATCTCTCTGATCTGGACTTTATCTTGAATAACTCAGTGTTGCTCATAAATTATGCCACCTCAGTTTCTTCTCACACACATATTTTTCACACAATTCAGACATTTTGTAGGGTTTTTTTGTTTTAATCCATTATTAAATGTCTGCTCTTTTTTTAAATATATATATTTGGTATTACCTAAACTAGCTTAGACATCACTGCCTGTCCCCCCACTCCTGCCCGCCCAGAACTGCAGTTTGGGGAAGTGAGCCTATGGAAAAGAATTCTCTGTATCCTTGCAAAAATAACACTGCTGGAGGTTTTATTGCAATAAGGACAGGAAACATGGAACCCTGCCAACGTTGCTGGACTGTGACTGCCATCAGCCCCCCTTTCAGCATGGCCAGTGATAACAGATTATGGAAGTTGTAGTCCAGAACCCTTAATAGGTCAAAGGTCCACCACCACCGTACTGGAAGACTCTATAACAATATACAGTACTTGTGTTTGGAATTAGTTTACATCTGTCTTGGTGTTTTTTTCCCCTTCCCTTGTTCCATGACTAGCCTTTACAGAAGCTTTCTGAAATGTGTACCTTCCCAGGTACACCCACTTAGGAATCAGTTTTCTCCAAAGATTGCAAGAGTTTAGAAAAGTATAAATTGGTGATATACCACTCGCTTTATATCAGAGATGGGCGGCTTCCTAAGATCTGAGGACACACATGGCCACTGGTGGACCTTGGAGAGCTGCACCCACTTCTGCACTTATTTTAAAAACCATTTTTAACATGGAAAAACTCCCCTATGCCCTCTTGTGGCCAATTTATTTTATTAATTACAAACACTCAAGTCTCCAAACAAAAAAATTGCCTCTCTTGCCCTCTAGAGGGCACAAAGAGAATTTCTTTTGAGCCATTAAAATATATACTGTATATTAAAAGTGATGTGTGATGGTGGTACATGGGCCCAGATTCAGTTATTAGTTAGAATAATCTCAGTTACTATCCTATACCAGAGAGTGAGCCCATTTTATTGAAAGGGATGTAACTTGAGTAAACACACCTATACTTGTATAGTACAATAAAGTGGCTGGAATCCTGTTTCACAGTTATGTCAAAGACGTGAATATTTAGAGACAAATTGTTGTAACTTAAGTAATCTTGGTAGATATTACCAGTTGCACGCTGAGTAATATGATTCAGTGTGCAACTGATAGGGTCTACAAGGATTTCCTAACTTGCAAATGTTTGTGTAACTGCACTGTGGGATGTGAGCCCATTCATGACTTAGTTTCAGGAGGAGCTTAGAAAAGCTATTTTGTTGGACTACAGGTTGCTGAATCCCCCAGCCACCATAGCTGATGGTGGAGGATGCTGGGGATTATAGTAATTTTTCCAAGGCTCTAGTTTCAGCTTTCCACCTCCTGGTTTCACTTTAAGACACATTATCAGTAACTACCAGATTTGGATATTTGGCTGTGGAGCTGGAGGTTGGGCATTTGATTCCCCCCCCCCCGTGCCTCCTGTGAATACAGCCAGCCTGTGTGGCTTTGGGACAAGCTGCACAGTCCCAGGGCACCCTCAGAACAAAGGAATGAATGGTAAACCACTTCTGAATGATCACTACCTAGAAAGCCCTGGAAAGAGTCATCATCAGTTGGACCTGATTTGATGCTATGCATTTTATTATTATGTATGTATGTATATTTTAAAATGTCTTTTTAAATATTATCTGCTCATTTAAAAATTGTATCTCACTGAGCTTTTCACTATGTATACTTACATTGTTTTAATGAATTGTGAGCGGCTTTGGTTATCTCCACTTAGAGAAAGGCAGCAAATAATTTTTTAAAAAATGGAGATGCTGTGCCACGACCAATCATAGTCCCCATCCTTGGTTTAGTAACTCTTAGCAGCTATACATTTCCGGCATAGTGGGCCGAGTATTCAGGCAAGACTGGGGAGCTTTACGTAATACAGGAGAGAAAGCAGAAGTGAAACAGGAAATGACAATGTGCAATAGAAAGACAGCACACAGCTTCATCTCAAGAGATTATGTGTTAAATCAGCAATGTACTGTTTCACATTTCAAAATCAGTGAAAATATAAGGTACATAATACAAAATATACTTCTTTGATAGTATATTTTTTATGCGTGTAAAGTAATGTTTTGCTAGTTAGATCAACCAACTGCTAAACATTCTAACAGAATGGGTGCCCGCCCACGGGAACACTGAACTAATTGTTTCAGTCAGCCACTACTGCATTCATTTCCATGGAAATTTAAATTAATCCACCCTTGTTGAGAACAATGGAAGCTTTGGAGTGACACTGAACTTGTATCTGTCAGAATGGAAAGGAAACCTGGTTTGTTTGTTTTTTTAAAGATGTTGCCTGTATGGTGGCAACTGGGAAATACAGAGAAAGAAAGTTTATTTACTGCAGCCTCCTCCTCCTCCTCCTTTATTGATTCCAAAGTTTAAGAACCCACTGTGGGCTGTGTTTTTAGATAATTGCTTCCCAACCTTGGATCCGTAGATGTTTTTGGACTGCAAAAATCAGAAATCCTGGCCAGCACAGCTAGTGGTGAAGGCTTCTGGAAGTTGTAGTCCCAAAACATCAGGGAACCCAAGGTTGGGAACATCATTTTACATCACATTAGAGTGGGAATAGTTTTTTCTGTGTATAGCATACTTTCTGGGGAGCAATGTTGGTATCATTTGGACCAGACATCCTCAGTTGTGGAGTACACTGTGTCCGTCGGACAGCGTGATTCACTTTGCCTTGCATAAAGGCTCCCCTACCCATTATTATCTTTCTCTGAAGCCACAGGATCATGCCCGCGGCTTACACCACCCCCCAGCGCCACTCCCGACATGTTGCTGAGTCTCCCACCCCATGGTTTTTGGAGCCGTCATATCCTGCAGCAGACGCTGATGGACGAAGGATTGCGGTTGGCTCGTCTGGTATCGCATGAGCGAGCAGGACGGCTCAGCCCTTGCCTCCCTGGAAAGCCCCAGGTGCCAGGTAAGTGCAGATAAGCCTTAAGCTTGGGTTGTTTCCTGAGTTTAGAAAAGCTACTCTCTGTGACTTCCAGAATCCTGCTGCCAGTGCCAATATTGACTGGCCAATTCCTGGAGTTATAGTCCTAAAAAGTAATTTTTCCAGGGTCTAGGTGTCAGAGAGAAAAGAAATGGGACCAAGACTTAGGTGTAGACTCCCTTTAGCTCAGAGGATCTTTCTCTGCCTCCAACATCCTAGAAGACAGGGTGCATTTTCATGAAGAGGAAATGGAGGAGATGGAATCATCCTTGTGATGGGGACTGATCTGTACACTTTTCCAGGTCAAAATGACTGCAGAGTCAGACTTTTCAAAAAGGAGTCAGTGAAGTCTACTCTGAGACACAAGGTTTTCATGCTCCTGGTTATTAATACTGAATCAGACATCCAAGACGATCTTAGTCAGGAAAAGAAGCATGAGTAGCAGGCAGGATTAAATAATGTGAAACGCTAAGGAAGATTGCCTTTGTTTTACTGGTGTTCAAAATGGACTTTGAACATTGTAAAATTGTAGTGGCCATATTCAAATTAAAAATTCACAAATAGATACCAGAAGAAAACAATGTGTATGATATCAGAAATGCGTGTTTAAGCACTGCCATCTGAGTAACAAATTAAGAGTAACTTTACACGATCCAAGTATTCTTTTCACCCATGTAGCCAATGGAGAATGGCAAAAGAAAGTGAAGGATTTAGGGCCAAAGTGCTATGCATGAATGTCTTCCAAAAAAATAAACACATTGGACCAAGGAGGCATATGCATCTGAGATCATATTGGTAACAGTAGAGCGTAGCTGACTGGAATTTAATGATTCAAAAAAAGAGACAAGTTCAGGAAACTGCATTTCTTCCTGACTACGGAATTTCCCTTTTCAGAGTTTGGAGAAAACCTTCCTGAGCGATGCCAGCCTCCAGCAGCACAGCCTGAGGCAAGAAGGAACAGCATTAAAGTGGAACCAGAGACCACCCGGCCATGACCGGCAGGTGATTCAGCCACTCAAGTCACCAAGCAATAAGGTGCCAGCCAGCTCTGGCAGTCCGAGAGACTCCTGCAGGGGAGGGACTGGGGTGCCGTTCTCCACTTCGCTACAAGGAGGCATACGCTTGGCTTCACTAACTGAAGAAGAGCTACCATATTAGCAAAAACAATCCTGCATTATTCACTCGCCTAGTTCTCTTTGGAAAATGGAGAACCTGCTTGCCTGCCTCCCTAGGCACAAAGTGGGACTGCGTGAATGGCAAACATGCATAACGTCAGAATCCTGTCAGTTTTCTTTACTTTGAGAGAAAGGGCATCCTGCCTATTGCTGATAGTCGTGAGCTCAGGGAGACCAAATCTCTGGCTAGTTTGGCCTTGTACAGGGCTATTTAAAGTCTCTCACCCACAGTCTTTCACACAAGATGGGGCCTGGGACTAACATGTACAAAGCCATGATTTAAAAAAAGAACATAAATACATTTCGCAACCTTTACAGAAAGGCATTCCGTTTCTCAGCCATAACCATTGATCTTCCTAAATGCTCCCCACACTCAGTTCTTTACAGCCACGCACTGACTCATACATGCCTCCCACATGTGTGATACAACACGTTTTTCCACAGCCCTTCTCTCCCCCCCCTCCGTGTTCGCACAAAAACACACTAGTGACACACATCCCTGACGTCCACTTATTAAGATGTTTCCCTTTCTGTTGTAGATTTCATAGGCAAGGCTGAAACCAGTTCTTAACCAGTTCTCACTTCCCTTGATCTTGACATGAAATGGGTATTTAGTCACTGATAGTATGATAGTGCTGATCACAGCTTAGCCCTGCTTCAATGCTCTGAGGTACTTTGCTCCCAAACTGCCCTATCCTTGGAAGTTCACAGAAATCAGGAAAAAAGCTACCTTTAAAACATACTTACTTGTTTTATTTTGGCCATTCTGATGACAATTACTCTACTGTCTCTGTGCCCCGTTGGTTGCATTACAGCAGCTAATTAATCTTCGTTGTTTACTGGGGTTGTACCAATGCAGGAATTAGAACTGACTTCCAGGCCTTTGGGCCTTTAAGCCTCCCCCCAGAGTAATTTTATGTGATTCATAGATGGGCCAAAAAGTGGAAAAAGGGTGGGTGGGTTTGCTATTGGTAAGAGCTCAATGGAACACCCACCTCTGTCTATAATTATAGCAGTTTCTTCCTCTCCACCTCCCCAGTACCTCAGGCAGTCTCCAGCCCTGGTCTTTCCTGAAGTAAGCAAACTCACACTTTGGGGGCTTGATTTCTTACTATACTAACATAAGTAGGAAAAAAGGACAGTTGAAAAATCATCTCTTAGCTCTGAGACAAAAGGTGTGGTGTGATTTAATACAGCACCGGTTCTGCCTCTCTAGCCACACACACAAAACACTTTGCTGTGTGGATCCTCCATTATGGAGCAGCTGCAAAATGTTAGGAAGCGAGCCCCACAATGCAAACATAAAAAGTCAGCTTATATGGAAACTTCAGATAGAAAACACCAGACATTAATGCTGATAGTTAATGGGTGGAATTGCCCCTGCTAGTTTCCAGTTTGCACTTTGTCCAGCAAAAGTGTGGTACTCAATTGTTGCTGAAAGATCTAGTGGCACTTTAAGGTTGCCTTTCTTGATATCTTTGAATAGGAAGGAGTACAGATGCTTCAGGAGTATACTACATCTTGGCCAAAAATAGCCAAGTACAGTGCCCTTGGAAAAGGTCAGGACCACCTCAGGCTAAATTACAGCACACAGTAATCTTCTATTTCCTGATTCTGAACAAAGTTCTATGCAGTGTACAGGGAAGGTGTACCCTCTCTTCTCTGCCTAACAAGTAAATGACAGGAAGAGGAGGTACTGAACCTCAAAAAATTGTAGGCAAGAATGAGTCACCCTAGGCTTCTTGGGCATAAGGTGAAACAATTCAGTTTTCAAAAAAAAAGTGGCTAGAGGAGCAGTCTGGGAGCAAACTATAATGAAGTAAGCAATTGCCTGAAAATAGGTACACAACAAAGGTGGCTCAAGAGCTTGAAATCTTGTGGAGGCAACAGACATGCTCACTTGCTATTGGTCTTAGTCCCTACCCTCTCCCATAGAGCATTGATGTTTTCATAGAAGAACTACCATCTTTTCCTTTGTAATGTGTACAGTAGATTATTTATTTTGTTATTTTGGAATAAAGTCTTATTTTATGCCTTACTTTAAAACTGCACTTTTACCAGCTGTGAGATGGGATTAAGTGACCATCGGTAGGCAGGGATAAAGCCTGAGGGGGTAAAAAAGAGAAAGGGTTGGGGTGGTGTAAGGAAAAGACTACATTCCATGCCTCCAAGACAAGGTAAATTGCTCAGAATTTCTCCTTCTGGGTTTCACAGCCCAAATGATAGCACTCCTTTGGAAAAAGAAGACAAATTTGATGGAGGACCTGGGTGCCATCCAGTGAGAAGAACATGCAAGTTTACAGTGCTGGACCCGAGACATTCTCCTCCTGAGCTGGGGGGTGAAGACCAAGATGGTGCTCCATCTGCCTTTTACACACAAGGGCTAGTGGAATCTCTCCTCAGCACTGAGCAGTCGTGATGGGACAGTGCCTTCCACCATACTGGAGGACAGCAGCTTAGCAGAGAAGGTGCAAGGCTGATCATATGTGACATTTGACAGCTCTACTATCCCAACAGCACACTGCCACTTTTTCTCCTGTCCCTTTCTCCACCACCTGAGAAAACCACTGCACTCGGCCTAGAAACACAGTCAACCTCCCTTTACATGTTTAATAGGAAGAAAGGGATTTGTAGATTTTTAATATTGGGAGGACATATGGTGCCTCTCATCCAGAAGCAGAAACAAACAGAACAGAAGAGGAAATTGAAGTAGTTCTGAATGCCCAGATGTCCAACCGGGGGGGGGGTACAAGAAAGGACCAGCAGTTCAACTAATCCTCCCTCTAAACTAACCAAGTAACAGAGTCTGACCCCCCCCCATAAAAACCTTCTGCTGGGCTCTCGCAATGATGGCGGAAGTCCACCATCTTACAACAGGAAACACATCCACTCCTAACTAGCCAGAAACAGCACAAACTGTAAAGTATGGGGACCATATTAGCCTATTGAGGTCACACTGCTCCCCACAAAAAGTGCTAAGCCATGAACAAGCCAGGAGAGAACGTGAGTTCTGGCCCATCTGTAAAATAAATGCACAGCTCCCAAGGCCTTCTAAAAACTGACAAATATCCAGAGCAGAGCAGATTACTTCACAAGTCTATCCAGCACAGACTTGAGTCTCTCGAGCCAAGACAGAACTCAAAGGTTGGACAACAAGAAGAGCGTGTAAACAGAAGTCCTAGAAAGGTTATGTACTCTGCATGAATCTGGGGCACGAAACCACAACCTGCTCTGGTGTGCCTGGTCTTGACAGCTATAGTCCATGGAAGTCCAAGATACAAAGCTTTATGGACAGCCATTCAGTCATTCTGAATCCTTACAGTAGCGATTTGGATCTTGCTCATTACGTAGCAGCTCCTCCCACTCTTCAGTAGAGGGTTCAGGAAGGGTCTCAGGCACCCTGTGGAAGCAAAGCAGAAGCTAGTGAATACAACACTATAGAGGTCTTGTGAAGCTCCTCAAATAGGCAGGGTTTCTCCTTTGTGTCACATTTCTCACCTCCCTAACCATTAACACTTTTGTCCAAGAGATCTCAGGACTCAATATAGCTTAGCTTTTCAGTTTCAGGAGGGGACATAGCTAGATGAGCAAATCACATTCTATTCATCTAGAAAATCCCAGGCTGTTACCAGCATCTCAAAGCTGACAGACACATAGAGCTGTTACAAGACAGCATGAATAATACTGAGCCAAGTGGATTAACAGTCTGATTTAGGGTGCAACTACACAGGGGGGGAAAAAAGGAAACTGACTTGATCTGAAGTCCAGTTACCCCAAGTAAAATCATGTTATCTAGCCACATGGGGGCAGAGGAGAACATTGACAAACAGCCTCCTGGTGTTTTTACACTCCCCCATCTTGCCAACCACAGCACCCCTGCACACAATTTTCAGTATCAGGTCAGGTGTTCACATCATCTGCACTGATAAAAATGGATCTGATATAAAAAGGACAAGCTCCAGTGTTGGGAGGAAAACTACAACTTGTGGGTGAGGAATCTGGGCTGATTTCCATTTTTATTTCATGTGGTCAATGAAAAAAAGAATCAGATTGTCCCAGCCCTGTAGCATTTCCCACATTACATGTTGAGATAGTCACAACCTTGGTATGAGGAAGCTTTCTGTGCTCCTATGAACCCTGATAACTCCTATGCCACTTTATTTCTTTATCACCAAATCAACAGCCATGTTATCCACCTATAATTCCTAGAATGATTAAGGAGAAGTTACCACATGCCCTCAAACCAAAAAAAGCACACTCGCTATGATCCATGAACTACTGGCCATCAAGGGAAGGAATCTTCCTTTTCTCTTGTATCCCACCCACCATCCCCTGCGAGTTGCAACACTCACCTGATCAGGTTTGATGGCAAAGACAGCGGAAGGTTCATAACATTCCCATTAGACATGTAGATCTCTGACATTTCCACATCTTGAGGTAGGGGATATGGACAAATGTCGCCAAGGGGTGAGGCATTTCCCATATGGTAGGGGTAGGACATAATTGCTTCGCTAGAGGAAACAGAAGAAAAATTGACACCATGGTCATCTCAAGGTACAATGTGGAATAGGAGGCAATACTGTAATACTCTTATCTATTTATCTCACTGGTTCTTAACCTTAAGTTCCCAGATGTTCTTGGACTAAAACTCCCAGAAGTCTTCACCAGTAGCTGGACTGGGCAAGATTTCTGGGAACTGTAGTTCAATAACACAGTATTAACTTAGTACAACTACAGTAGTACCTCGGCTTACGAACGCCTCAGTTAAAGTAATTTTCGGTTTACGAACGGAAATCCATTGAAAATAATGCCTCGGTTTATGATATTTTATTACAGTACGAAGGAAGTTTCCCCAGGATATAAACCTCCATTGTGCCTGGAGGTTTATAGTGCGGCCCCCGTACCTATGGCAAACTATGTTTCAGTTTACAAATTTTTCCCATTACATAACGTCCCAGTAAAAGGTTCCCCTTGACATTTAGTCCAATCGTGTCCGACTCTAGAGCGCGGTGCTCATCCCTGTTTCCAAGCCATAGAGCCAGCATTTGTCCGAGGACAGTTTCCGTGGTCATGTGGCCAGTGCGACTAGACACAGAATGCCGTTACCTTCCTACTGAGGTGGTACCTATTTATCTACTCGCATTTTTACATGCTTTCGAAGTGCTAGGTTGTCTGGAGCTGGGGCATGTGACAGGAGCTCACTCTGTCACGTGGATTCAATCTTACGACTGCTGGTCTTCTGACCTTGCAGCACACAAAGGCTTCTGTGGTTTAACCCGCAGCACGACCACATCCCAGAGAATGCATTAAATTTACAAACTGAGGTACGCCTTTACATAGATGAAGTAAAGCTAGAAAACTACAAAGGATAACACAGGTAACATGCACAGTAGCACACAGCGTTATGTGTGGAAACGAAGAGCTAAAATGCAGTCAATTTAATAAAGCAATTTATTCATATGATATAATTATGATTTTTGTAAATTATAATATATAGAAATTCTATAATTATAATTACAGTTTAATAAAAAGGTGATGTTTTTCAGCACGGGGTTAGAAGTCAGATAATAAACTGGATAGGTTACTATTTCGAATGTTTTCACATAGTGTGTTTAATAAAAACTTTTTATGTGTTATCCTAGATCTCCGCCTTTTATAAGCTTTTGTAAGCTCAGAGTAAGAATCTGTTCTTGATCATCCCAGAGTGAAGGTCACGTAAAATGGGCTCAAGTTACAGGAAGCCAAATTTGTGCTGAATATTAGGCAAAAATGGGCTCAAGTTACAGGAAGCCAAATTCGTGCTGAATATTAGGCAAAACCTAACTGTTAGAGCAGTACGACGGTGGAACCAGTTAGTTCAGGAGGTGGTGAACACTCCGACAAGAGAAAACTGGGCAACCATCTTTCAGATCTGCTTTGATTCGGATTTCTGCATTGAGCAAGGCAGATTGGACTTGACAGCTTTATAGGGCCCTTCCAACTCAATTAATCTCTGACACTATGAAAATAGGGGTTTTGGCATTTTTACCAGAGTAAAGCAGTGTCTAAATGCACCTTTCTCTTTCCAGCTCACTCACATAACAAACAAACGCGCGCTAACACAAAGGGGCTTGCTAAAACAGATTTCCTTACGGATGTAACTGCTGATTCCTGTATGATGTGTTGCTGGAGGGTGATGGATACATTGGTGGTGGAATCACGGGTGGTGGGCTAGAACAAAGAGAAAGCAAGGCTATGTTGAATATTTGCCAAAGGAACAAGAAGAGATCCTGTCAGAACAAAGATGCGTAGCTAGGGGTGACCGCAAGAAATGGTTATTTTTCCCATTTTAATCTATTCTGGCATTTTTTTTAAAAAAACAACCATCACCTTTGTTTATTTGTTAGCTGCATTTTTACCCTACCATTCTTCTAAAATATAGCTCAGGGAAAGGTAGCTGTTCTTTTATCTGAACAACCTTGTGATGAAAGTTAGGCAAAGAGCCTATGTGTGTATCTGGTGAAACATTTTCTAGTGGGGTGCATTAGCAGAAATCTGAACTTGCATCTTCTTTGTCCTCTAGCCCAGCACTTTAACCACTACGTTGCATGTTATTTCCCCAGCACGGCCCAGGCTAAAAGCCTACTGCAAGACACCCACATAAGAGAGTAATGGCAAAACTCCCAATGTAATCTGTTTCAATTAAAATTATTCTGTGTTTTACTAAAAATATATATCCATTTTTAATAGCATTTAATAGTAATTATCCAGTGCTAAACTCCTGCCACCAGTCTCCCAAATCTTGTGCAGTTTGGCCCTTTTTAACACATTATAGTAATGTGTCTTCATTATCTGGGCTTCAAATCAAGACAACCTCTGAATATGACTCAAATACATAAGAGTGTTAGTACTTTCATGTCTTAACTCTCAATAAGACAAAAGGGGAAAGAGTTTGGACACACTATTATTTATGTAATAAAATCTTGTGATTCTCTTTTGCATACAACTGTTACCTATAGGAAGTGGTGACACATTACTGTATATCAATATTAGAGATGGGGACGACTCGCCATTTGTCATCAAAAGTTGACGACTCCCGAAGCTGCCCCCATGAACTGATGAAGCATGAATTTATTTGTCAATTTGTGGGGGGGTGTTACTAAAAAAACCCTGAAGCCCCGCCGATGCCCCCCTGCCACCCCCACCAGCGGCCCCCCACCGAAATTGCCACCATCTCCAGTTGGACTCCATAGCCACAGCCTGTAGAAAGGGAGACTGGCTTCCCTTTGCAAAGATGGTGGCTGCGGCTTCATTTAGGGTATGGAAGTTGCAGCTGCCACCTTTGCAAAGGGCAGCCTGGACTTCCTTAAGGCAGGCTAAGGGAATCCAGGCTGCCCTTTGCAAAGATGTCAGCTGCAGCTTCCCTACCCTAAATGAAGCCACAGCCACCATCTTTGCAAATGGTAGCCAGTGTCCCTTTCTACAGGCCGTGGCTGTGGAGGCCTGCTGGAGACGGTGGTGTCGGCAATTACAGTGGCGGGCATCGATGGGGGTGGCGGCAGGGCAGCTAAAGTAGGGAGAGGAAGGGGGTAGGGGATAGGCTGTGGGGGTGGGTGGCTGCCTATCAGCCCGCTGATCAGCCGATCAGTGAGCTGGTAAACAGAATGGGAAAGCCATAGGAAGAGAGAAAAGGCTAGTCTTCCCTCTCTTCATAAGGGGGACGAATAAAAATGGGGCGATATTCGTCCCTTTGTATTCGTCAGGATCTCTGGAACCCACCAATAAGAAGAGATGAATAGTGATCTCTGACGAATATCATGATCCTTTTTTTAATTCATCCCCATATCTAATCAATATCAATGTTACACTGCATTCTTCCAGAGGACTTATTTCAACTCACTTTGTGCAAAAGTTAAAGGAAGGTATTTCTTCCACTGGTTCACAAACCAGTGTTTTTATTCCTTTGATTCTGTACAGTTTTTCCCCCCCAATTCTACTGTCCACTGGGGAAGGACATAGCAAGACTCCTGCAGTGATTCAAGGAAGCAGTTGGAAACTTAACAAAGAAGCCCAAGGCCAATGTTTCAAGCAGGGCCTTCCGTCTTCTGCTTCTTAATATTGATCTCCCACTGTTCAAATGCAAAGGTCTCCTAGTCCTCAGAGTGGTTCTCCATTACATTATAGGAACCAACAGTGAAAACACGCTACATTATTGAATAAAATCCACTTTTTCCTGCAGGACAGTGGTAAAACCAAGAAGACAGTTCCTTGTCCTATTTGCACACATACAGCCCGTTTTACATAATGAACAAGATCTTCAGTAGACAAGAAACCTACCCATAGGGAGAGTCAGAATGCAATTCAGGATTCATATTAGGGCTGCCCATAGAGTTGACTGGGGCCTGACTCAATGGAGTAGATAACTGTACACCGGTTCTGGAACTGAACAAAACATTCATTTGTTACGCAAGACTTACAGGGCAGGCAGCGAATACAGAACCATTTATGAATAAGTGACAGCTATATCAGGGCACAAGTGAAATGTGTAAAAGAATAATCACACGTTAAATACTAGAAAGAGCTTATTTCTGATGTGCTCAGAAGCTAAAAAGGGAGAAAAAAAAGGCAAGGATAGTAAGCAGCAAAAGGTGTTTCCAAAGCACTCAGAGATGTGACCACTGTGACGGACAAAAAGGATCTGAGAGTGGCCTACTGGGGCACTCTGTACATGTGCAGTGGAGAAGGTGGGTGGGCCTCCTGCCAAAACAGTGGAGGGAGGGATTCCCATTAGCGTGACTCCACAGAAACCATGAAGAAGGACTAAAAAAAAAAAGCAGCCTCCACAGTCTATGACTCCAAAGGCCAGCCGCCCTGTGCAAACTAAGGGGCAAACCATGCCGCCTTCAGACACTGCTTCTGGATTTCTGGCGGGGTGGGGTGGGATGTGGCCGGCCACTGTTGGCAACCAGGAGGTGGGCTAGATGGCCTGTCTTCCGCCTGACAAAGCAGGGCTCTCCTTATGTTCTATAGTCACTAAGTGATTAAACATAAGTTTTACATATGCAGATAGAGACTGAAATCTGTAACAGCAGATGCCACCTCGAATGCTGCAGCCAAGAAAAGAAGAAAAGGGCTGTTTGAAGCTCAGTCATAGGATTTATTGATTGATTTAGCCTCATGGGAGACTAACTTTTGTAAATGTCAAAGCTGCTAGTTATAAATCAGAAAATGGGAGGAACTTTCCGTACTAAAATCACATGAACCAGTCTTATTCTAGAATGGGTTATTTACTGCTGTCCTTCCAAGATGAAAGATAACTGAAGGTAATTTATAATCTTTTCAGATTAGGCAGCCATTTTATTAGAAGGGCCTACATTCATATACTCACAACAACCGACCACCAAGAAGGCTGAACGCTAATGGGTTATTACAGCTGCAGGTAACAGTTAAAATTAAAAACCACGCAGGTAATTTTTATAAGAAAATGAGAATCCACAAATTTGCTTATTCTGTTCTGAGATATGCTAAACGTTTTTATACAGAGTTCATTCATTAGCTTTCCTGTGTAAAGATATAAACAAAGCCAGAGGAGACAGAGTCATGGCAAAATGCTAAATCTCAACAAAGCTGAAACCTATATAGACTAGTAATAAATACCATGAATGAAAGTGCATTGGTTTCTAAAATTATATCATTTTAACTTAACCACAGATAGTGCTCATATATTACAATTACAAATACGTACACACATGGAGGTACTGTATGTGTACACACACACACACACACAGAGAGAGAGAGAGAGAGAGAGAGAGAGAGAGAGAGAATTCATCAAAAATGATTTGTGTTGTTGTTTCCTCCTTATGCAAGTCTGGATACATTCCCGGAAGCCTGGATAGCCTCCCAACAGTTTCACCGGCTTGAGACCCTGTTTTGTGATCTTTATCCTGGGAGGGTGCATGTTTCTTCTCATAGGTGTGTTGCTTTTTATAATGACTATGGCTTAGCGAATACATGGAAAGCTAAACATACATACAGTACATATAGTTTTATACCAGGTTCTTGTACATTGTTATTTTCTTACCTTAAAGTGAAATAGAGACTCACCCACACCTAATCATATTAGCTTTGAAGCCGCAGTAATGATAAAAAGCAACCCAAACTCCCTGGATGAAGATAATGAAACAGGGACCCAACCTGGTGAAACTGCTGGGCGGTTATCCAGACTTCTGGGAGTATATTCAAACTTACATAAGAAGAAAACAACAGCTCGGATAACTTTTAATGAACAGATAAGCAAAAGAAAGGATTGTGTTACACCCTCTTTATAAGAACTGAGCTTATTATATATATATCTATATATGTGTACCTATTTGTAATTGTAATACAGTATATGAACACTATCTGTGGTTATGTTAAAATAATATTTTTACATAAACTAATGCACTTTCATTCACAGTATTTATTACTAGTCTAAACAGTATCTCTGTGAATCTCTTGTCTTTCTAGTTAAAATAAAAACCTAAGAACTAATTAATGCTTTGTAGCTGTTTTGTGCCTCCGAAAATCCTGACCGTGTAAGCACAGATAAGTTTCTTAAGCCTTCCTATCTACACCAACTGGACCAGTCATGACACCCTAAATTATCTGGCTGAAGAAAAAGAACTTATTGAAACAAGCACAGAAGAATTTAAAGAAGTTCTTACATCCTGCTTAGTAAAATTACATAAAGACATGTTTGTTACAAGGTGGTAAAATCCCAGATGTGGAAGCCTGTTAGACCAGTCAGTATTCTGCTGCTTTCTTTAAATACTGTAAATTAAAGCCTTTAACAGACTGGAATGGACGTTTGGGAGCCAATTCCTTTTGAATGAAGGATTTGGAGACTGTTTTATATCAAAGAAGCACACATTTTACAGCATTTCATATATTTGTACTAGCAGTGCTGGAACCGCTTGTACAACATATGAGAGTCAGCTAGAGTTTTATCATGATTAAGTAACCAATGTTCCATATCATGGGCTTTTCAGGCAAAGAATCTAGCTCATTGCATACACCTTCAGTACCTCTTGTCAAAAAATACAAACTTTTATTTTTTTATTTAATACTTTTATTTAATACCACATCATAGTATTACCAAGAGAGAGAAAGAGAGAGAATTTTTAAATCCCACATTTCACAAAGTGGGTGAAAGGGGAGTTTGTACAGAATGCAATCTATTTATTTTATTTTATTTTTTTATTTATTTACAAGATTTTTTTTAGCTATGCCACTACCGATGATCTCTGAGAGGCGTACAACGGCATTCAAACTTTAGAAAAACATTAAAACCATTAAAAATACCCAATACTGCATTATAATAATACCCTATATTAAAATAATCAATTTATCATTAATAGATCCTGCTGCTTTATGTAGCTGAATGCCACATACAAGATATAAACATCCATGATATACACGTCATTCGTCCACAGAGGACTTCCTTTAATCCACTGTGAGCAAAAGGACAAAAAAAGCTATTTCTCTCAGCAATCCAGTTACTAGTGTTTCTATATCTTCGTAGGCTTTTTAAATGTTTAAAATATCTCAGTTCCAATGTACACTGGGTAAGAGCACAGCAGAATTTTTCAAGTGCAGTTGAGAGGGCAGACAAAAATTGAACAAACAAGCTCACAGCAATGTTCCAAAGCAGGTGTTTATCTTTGTTGTAACAGGTGTTACAGATAAGTAACCTATTTCTTCACTGTGGTCCCTGTACACCACTTGTATAAGTTAAACCTTAACTACAAAAAATTCACAAAGGAAGGTGAGGAGGCACCTGTAACCCCTGGAGAGGTGGTTGGATGGAGAGAACGGCTCTTCCAAAAGGAACACCCTTCTGCTAGCTGGTATCAAGACAATAATGCCAAATAGAGGCCACTCTTTTGAGACCGGGGGTGACCCAATACTTCAGACAATGGAACTCCTTTAAAGAAGGCAGTGGACTTTGCCATTGCACGGGTAAGGAGGATCTTTTGGAAGATATTGTAGTGGCATTTTTGCCAGGTGACAAGCTATCATGTTGGTTCTCCTATGCACTTTGCAAGACGTTGGGCAGATCTGCGGATCTCTTAGGATTCAAATGAACCAAAAACAATCAAGAGATTTCCCCCCCCCGCCTCAAAAAAGAGCCAAGCATTTAACCTAAAATACAAGTGCCTTTTCTGCCTGCAGTGTATGCATCATCTTTTCTGATGCTATCATCGGTGATGGAAAGAAAGCTGGTAGGACAATATTTTAGGAGGGTTGAAATACTGAGACCATGGTGGGCAAGACAAATAACCACTTCATCATGGGGCTAATCTAAGTCAGGTTGATCAGTTCTGAGTATACAGAGTTCTGCCACTTTGTGTGCTATAGTAATGGCAATTAAGAAGTTTACTTTGGCTGACAGTGAGCCCAAAGAGACAGTGGCTGATAGTTCAAAGAAAGGCTTCACCATCTGTCCAGAAACTAGGGATAAGCTTCAGGATGGGGCTTAAGCTTCAGATGAAGAAAACTGCTTTGGTACTCCTCAAAAGAATTGTTTTACTTCAGGAAAAGCAAAGAGAGAGAGAGAAAAGGTGTGGAGTTTGGAGGAAGGCAGCAATGCTGCCAACCGTTGTGTTTTTGTTTTTTTTTACAAAAAATACAATTAATTGAACAAGACAGTAAACTTTTATCTAGTAAAGAAAATGACTGTAAGACTCAGTAAATGTAGCACACCGTGTTGGAAAGCTTGTGGTCACTGTTTGATTTCTCATCCAAACTTTCAGATAACAGACTTTCAAGATGCAACACTATGTTTTCCAGCTCGGTAAGATCACCTTGTAATAATACTGTACACCAGAACAAGGAGTGTTGATATCAGGAATCTAAAAGGACTATCATCTGATTTAGTAATTCCGAATGATGCGTGTGTATGTTGTATATAATGACTATATATACCTCCGGAAGAGAAAGAGGATCTTGGTAATCAACAAAATAGTTGGGCCATGATGACTCACTGTCTACTAATGAAGCAATACAACAGTGTCAGACCACATGAAATTTGCAATCAGGCAGAGGAGGAGACAACCAACTAACTCATAGAGGAATTCTCAATGTGGAGTACAGTCTGTTCCATATGAAGATGGTGGAAGCAAAACTGCAACAGGAGTCAATGGAACAATTTGAATAACAAATGCTCTAGGTGAAAATTAAACCACTCAGCGAACTGACATGTGAACTGGTTCTCTGCTGGGCACAGTACACAAGGTGAACGTTGGCACTCAAGATGATGAGGATGTCAGTTGTCCCACATGCACGGAATGGAAATACAAAGTACTGCAAACATCGGCTGTGTGACTGATGAAGTAGAAATGTGTGCTGGAGTTACTGGAAGAAGTGAGACTGTTGCTATGGAACAAGTTCAAAACTCTATTGTTAAGAAACAAAGAACAGTTGACGTATGGATAGGAGGCTGATGGTAAAACTGATAGTGAAATGAATGAGGAAACTGACAGTGTTTCCCTCTGGGAATTAACTAGGTGATCACTGATACCAACAGTGGTTTACAGGGGAACAGTAATGCCAGCAAGGAGAAATTGAATACTCTAGTGGTATCAAGACAGGAAGCAAGATCAAGAACACTAAGTGTGGTATCAGGAGCTCTCAGAATGCTCCCTCTGTTCCAAAGGATTTGAAGACTGGTGGGATGACAGTGAGCACTCTTTGCAATGAGAGGCCTCATAATTGGCGTGTCTAACATGGGATGTCATTAGGACCAGCTAGTCCTAGTTGGTAGTGTTAAAAGGATACATTTCGTTTACTTCTCATTAGGAAGGCCTGAAGACTCTAGTCTCTCTCTCAGCCTCAGCAGTCTGGGCACGTTCAGCAGGGCTCCTGCCTTCCATCCTCTGTTCCAAATACTACAGACATGAAGCTTCCAACAAAACAGGATTTATTAGAACAGGGAGAGGGGTAAGAAACACAGGGTTCAAAAAGGTTCAGAGTCCTCAGATTACTTGCAGTCACAGGCGAACTGTCTGACATGGCAGTGTCTCCCTTCCTGATTCCCATCTCCAGGAGGTCAGTACTGCCTCTTCTGGCTCCATTTTCTCTTCACTGGGCATGAAAGTGTTCTTTTTTGCCCTAGACCACAGAGGTCTTTAGACCATCCTGCAGTCAGTAACAAAGGGCATGATGCCTGCAGTGACGGTAGTCATGTTGGGAGGCTCTCCCTGGAGATCCTGGGGGGAGGGGGTGTCCCCTGGCTTGGCAGTCTTCTCACCTTCTTCTCTTTCTGGTCCTGGTGGTCCCTTTGTTGTTGTTTTTCCACCAGCATTGGAGTGATTTGGCTGAAAGTTTCTTGGGATTGGGCTTAGGTTTTTGCCCCTTCCCTGCTTGATATTTCCTCTCCCTGCAACAAAGAAGGTGGTAGGCTTGCTGGGGTTTCTCTTGCTTCTCCTCTTCTTCTGGGGCCCTTAGTTGTACCACAACCCCTTGCCAGGGGTCTTCTTTAAATACATAGTCCAATTCCAAAGGCAGTTCAGAGTCTTCCTCAGAAGAGGTTTTTACCCTCCAGGCTCCTAAAAAATCTTCTAACTGTCTCCCGAAGTCCCTTCCTCCAGGGACTCCTCCTTCTCCCTCTTCTGAGGTAGACGTCACTTCCTTTGTCTGCTCAGTTTGGCCATCCTGCTCTTTACAGGTACTTTCTGGCTGGGGGGGGTCTAACCTACCTCTTGGCAGTGCTCCCTTTTATATCCCCCATCCCCCAGAGGTAAGCCAATGGCTTCCTCAGTTCTTAGGGTCATTTTGCCTCCTCCGGGGTTTCTGATGCCTCAGGTGTAGAAGTTCAGTCTGGGAACCAGTGTCCTGGGAGTGGGGGGTCTCTTTTCCCTTCCCCCACCTGCTGGCTCAGCCTCCAAGGCTCCCAACCCTTCTGCTGGCTTTGGTGACAAGTGGGTTGCCTCCTGGCTGGGGCTGCCATGGCCCAGGAACTGGCAACCCAGACTACGCTACGCCACCGCTTCCCACACTCTCCTTCTTCTGTGGTTTGACATAAGTGACACACTGAAGTGGTGCCAAGGTCAACACTGAATGATATGGAAATCCACACCGAGATGAAGAAATAGGCAATGGGTGACGTTGGAGAATCCTGAGACTTCGGAGCAATTTACATATAGAAGGCGGGTTCGGAGGAATTGCTTTCTCAAGAAGGAAATGTTTAAACAGACACTTGAGTTTCACCTTTCCCAACTGAAACAAGATTCAAAGACTTTGCAGATGGAAGTATTACTTTTCTCACTGAGGCAGAAAAGACCATCCTTGTGTCTGTGTGTGGAGGGACATTTTTCCTTCAAAGATAGAACTGTACTTAAAGAACACCCTTGGGAACCACAGGGCCAGAGGGGAAAGAAAAAAACAAACAAACAAAAAAGGTGACCAAAAAGAAAGATAAGATAGTATCAGAAACATACTGAAATGAGAAAATGAAACAAAAGTAGGTGGGAGATGATAAAACAAGAGATAAATTAACTGTTGAAACCTTTGACTTGCATTGGTCTAAATCCCTCTCTCTAAGGTATCAGCTGCTGAGGCAGGTAAAACAGAACCGAGGACCAATCAACCCGGCTGCACAAGCACTATAGAGAAAAGGAGCAGCATCTCCATTACTACTGTTTCTAACTAAACGGTTCTGAACCGTTTTCTGCACAGGCTCAGATCTATAAAGTGTTGCACAGAGACCAAGAAATAGGAAGGAAGCCACGCCACATTCTTCAGTAAAAATATACTTTTCCTCACTCTTGCAGGACAGTGAAAAACTATGAAGAGATTTCATACGCAGCCTTCTTTAACATGGTTGCATTCAGACAGTCATTTCAGAGAAACAATGATGGTTTCAGCAGACTAGAGATTTGGCACTTACCCAAAGACAGGCTCAGAACATATTCCATAACTCCCATTAGAATTGCCCAGAGGGTCTACTGGCGCCTGAACTGGCAGAGCAGGAAATGAGGAAGGTCTGGAATTGAACACAGAAGTTATGCCAAATCAGTAGGGCCGTAGGGCCATGCATAAACCCACATGTCACAAGCTTTAAATGGCTGCGGGTCTCCTCACACACAGAGCAATCACAGCTATGGGGATGCAAGTGTGGTGCTAAACCCAACCCTCTAGCATATTATACACTAAGCACAGCATTTCAGCCCCCTGGTATGTTGAGCACAGGTCTGTAAAGGTATGTTGTAACTGTGTTCACCTGAACACAGCTGCACAATTCCTGTGATTGGGAACCCTGATAGGGCATGGCCACATCTCCATACCCAGTTTGGACCTACACATGAGCAGACAAGTGCCTGCATAGGCCTTTAAGAGAGCAATCTGCCTGACTGCACTCTACATCAAAGCTTGGAAATTTTATTTCCTTGGGAGACTCTAGCCACTCACCAGCTGTGATCTAAGTAAGTTTTGCCTAGGTACGGCCGTAAGTATATACACCTGCACATACTGTTCATCTTTACAGGCAATGATGCAGCAACACTAGAACCAGCCCTTGATCAAACAAATACTCTCTGCCTTATTCAAACAACATTTGTGCTATAAGGATGTGGCTGCCATTCAGGTCAGGGCAGAAAACAAGTGACACCACCCAGCGTTTTGCTTTCAGAATACGAGAAGGCCCAGCAATGCCTGTTTCCCAAGCTACAGTATTTTACCAAAAGGAAGAAAAGATATTTCCTATGATCCATGAAGCTTCCAGTAGCATCTACAAGTTTCACCGTTTCTCCCAGCGATGGGAAGAGAGAGGGGACTCCAGTGCCTTTAACAGCCTGGCATATGAGAGATGTCTGATGAAATCAAGGTCTTTCCTTTCATCAAACCGCTGGTACTCATGTTTCCTTCAGCATCTTTAGTACACTGGGCACCAACTCTGTGCACCAAAGGTTGGGAAGAGATAAAAATCTCCAAGTCCAACATTATGCTACGGGAAATGGAATGCTGTCAACTCCAAAGGTGTAGTGGAGGTGGCTGGAAGGCACTGCAATGTGAGTCATTCATTTCACAGGAATCCTGAAAAGCACAAATGAGGGTAGTAGTTCTCGCTGTTGTCAAAGAACATCACTGAGAGTACAAAGTCTGACTCAGAATTCCCAGAACTCCAGAAGCTTTAGTGATGTCCCAATGCAAATCTACGCCAGTGTGAAGGCCCACTTAAACTAAACTGCACTCCTCTGGCAGGGGTGCATACTCCACAGGCTCTGGATTTGGGTTATAATGGCTCCTGGGCTCTCACAGTGGCCAAATGCCATCCAGGACTGGCATCGGTGCTGCAACAGTGGTAACGGTGATATAAAATGAGTCATGCTGGTTACAATTCTCAAGATGGGAATAATAAGAATCAATCCCCACCTCCTTCCGCACTCCCCATGAGGATGGAGCCATCATGGCTGCTTCAGCATTACTCAGGGTGGTGCTGATGTAATGATGCTCATCGCGACTGCTGGGAACAAGACTAAATTTTCTCCTCCTTTGGTGACTGTAAAGCACTAGGATGATGGTGAGAGGTTATAGCCTCCCCAAACATCCAAAAAGGCACCGCCCCTCAGGCCCATCATCTGTATCAGACTCAGATCTCAGAGATGAAAAATGCAGGAGCAGGCGATACCTTTGTTAGACCACTGAAAAGTCAAGCAAAACAGCAGACAGCTAGCTCTTTGCTTGTTTTTTTTAAAGTTGACCAATAAAAGCATCACCTGCTCCTGCATTTCTATTTATTTAGAAGCCACATGGCCTTTTCCTAATTTTTTCACAGCTGAAAAATGCTCTATGTGTTCCTCTCCTATAGTATCTATACTATAGTGAGTAGCTCAAGGGAAATGAAAAATCAAATACCAAAACATTGACTAAATCCTGGCTAAATGACCTGTTCATAGGTCAGTATTCAACCCTAATAAGCATGAGAAATCAGATAAAATCAGGGCTCTGCTATCTGATCTTGCCAGCCACTCCTAGCTGGCCCATGTTCCATACAGTCTACTATCAAGTTTCATGAACTGTATGTTACTCATATATAAAATAGGCCCACCACTGCCTTAAGTTTCATTAATTTCAGTGGCTCTACAATTAAGTATGAACAGATCTGGAAGCAACCCTGTGTGTCTGAGCCATTACTTAGAAGTCATGAGTCAAGAAAGGACCAAACATGGTTGGAAGTTTATCCTCAAGAAGAAGGGAAAATCCTAATTCAACTCAGCAAGACACTTTCCCTCTCAAGCAAGAAAATCCACACACTCACGTGTCCAGAGTTATCGTCAACTTGGCTCGGACATAACTGCTTTTCTTGGGTGCCTCTGCTATGGGAGAAAACACACAACCTGCTCATTTCCCTCCACACAGAATGAATGTAATCCCTTCTTTCCCCCACAGAAGCTCCAGCAAATCCTACAGCAAGATGAGATCCTGAGCAATATTTGTCTTCTTTAAGGAGGAATATAGAGGTTTTCTTGCTTCACATCTCTCTGATGTGGCAAGTTCCCAAAACCAGAAAGGTGTTCAATTTTGGAGCCACCATCCGAACAAGATAAGGCAGAAGGCATTAGAGGATTAACCTCTTTTCAAAATGTAGAGGCTCTGAGCAACTGATGGACCCCACTTGCCCACTAAATGGCTTGTGCCAATCATCCTGCCTTGATTCACTGTAGGGATCCAAAACAGTGGTAACCCAGGTGTTCTTGGACTGCTATAGAAATCCTGGCCAGCACAACTGGTGGGGAAGTCTTCTGGGAACTGCAGTCCAAGGACACCGGGGTTACCCAAGGTTGGGAACTGCTGTTCGAAAAAGGCCACAGCATGGGCAAAATACGGCCTTTCAGGTGTAGTTGTTGCCAACTTTCACTATTCTGAATAGGGCTTATAAAAAACAAAGTCCAATGATATCTGGAGGGTTGCATTTTGCTTGCCCCTGGCACAGATTTTTGCAAAAGCGTAGCCACATATTGGGAGCTGTCAGCTATGCAAACACATGTCATCTGAATGTACCCCATTGTGATCTGCACTGTGTACGTTTATTTGCAAAATACATTATGGGTCTGCTACAGGTTGCTCTACCCAGAAAGTGAAATGGGGGGCAGGGAGAGGGGGAGTAATGAGCATATCAATCTATTTTGAGTTTGTGTCACTTCTGCAAAAGCTTGTTTATATATCTGTTCTCTCCGACTGTGACTTTTATCTGCCTTTTAAAAAAAGTCCTAATGAAGAGCTGCATTTAAAACATACACACATGTACTGTATTTTTTCTGTGCATAAGACACCTCCGTGTATAAGATGCCCATCCCCCACTTTTCTAATCCAAAATTAAGAAATCTTAATTTAGCGTGGTGTATTCAGCCTCTGGGCTCAGTATGGTCGGACATTGCGAGCCCCTGTTGCATCTGAGCCTACAGTCTCCATCTCCGAGGAGGTGTGTTCCAATTGGTTTGTTCAGCATCAGCTGACATCACTTCCATAAGGCTCGTGATTGGAAGAAACTAAGTCTCCTGACTGTAGGAAGCTAAGTCTCATGACTGAAGGAAGCCTGATTACAGAGACAAGGTACGGGCAGTTTTGTTCCCGCCTCAACTTACTTCTGTGTATAAGACACCTCTCAATTTTTAGTGTAATGGTTTTAGGAAAAAGTAGCATCTTATAAACAGGAAAATACAGTACATTTTTCCACTTTTAATGTTCATTTCTAAATGCATTTTGACAATTTTCGCTCACAATTTGCACATTAAATTCTAATCTGCACATCAGAACAGGGGGGCAGATCAGTTTAATTGATTTCCTGGCCATTTCTGAAGCAGAGTCTTTTCAGCAGAGAGATGTTACCATAGGATTTGGCCCCCAAGTTTATAGTTAGACCAGATTGGTTTCTCTCCATTCTCTTTTTGACACGACTCTAAGCATAACCTAGATTTTCTGTCCCCATCTCTAATACTATTGCCTGCTAATGTATTCACACTATACAGCTGTAGCAACTTGAGATCATTTTAACTGCCATGATTCTATCCTGGGAATTGTAGTTTGGTGAGATAGAATTCTAATAGATTCCTGTCAACTACACTAGAAAGCTCTAAGCATCTCACCGAACTACAATTTTCAGAATTCCAAAAGATGGAACTATGACAATGACAGCTGAAGTGACATCAAACTTATATAACCATGTAGTAGCACATCTATATACCCTGGTTCTTTATTGCACATGAATGAAATGATGAAGACATGGAGACAGAACAGAGTGTAGAAGAGGTGAGAGCTTTGAAGCCCAGATTCTTGAATTTAGAGGGTATCAATCCTGTTTTCCCTCTTCAAATCCACAAGCACCACCATCCTTATGCTTTCTTTTACAACCTGGGCCATCAGAATTCATCACATTCTGCCCTGCCTACTAAAAGCATAAAATGGGATATTTTGCTCTTAGGGAGAAGCAGGTGTTCCAGGGAGATAAAAAACTTAAAAATCATGCTCTTTCCGCCACTCTTCCACCACTTACCATTATAGTGATTCCTGAAAGCTTCATCTTTCAGCCTGTTGGGAAACAGTATTGAAAGCTCTGAAAGATCCCGAATGCAGTCAGCAAGGGACTGGACAGAGAGTTGCTTTGCAGTCAATGGCTGGATATTCTCCACCTGAGTGGAACCTGAGTCAGGCAGGAAGAAAGAAAGCAACAGAAGGAAAAACCAAGATGAGAACTGAGAGCAGAAGTTATACACTCACTAGCCTGACCACTGTCTTCCATCTCACCACAGCAAAGAGGAAACAATCATTTCTGAAACAGGAACAGAAGACTCACTCAAAATAATGGGTCTGTTCTATGTACCACAAAATAAGGGGTCTCTGGCCAAACACAAGCCAGGCAATAGCAACATCCACAACTACACATCCTTTGTATTTATTCCTGTGGCTTTACATGGGAGGTGCCTCACGAGAAGCTCCGCTGGCTGGGAAGAGGACAACCTGCCACTTACAAAAGGAGCCCCCATTAGACAGACAACAGTCACAGCACAGAACATCACAGGGATGTGGCTGCCTTTCTAACATGAGACAGGCAACAAAACCTGGATTGTTGAAGTTACTTTGAACCAGCCACTTTGGGCTTTTTAGAAAGAAAGGTGGGGGAGGGAGGGAGGTAAATAAGTAAGCAAGCAAGCACCGTGTTCCTCCGAAAATAAGACAGGGTTTTATATTAATTTTTGCTCCAAAAAACACATTAGGGCTCATTTTCAGCGGATGTTTTATTTTTTTCTTGTACAAAAATCCACATTTATTCAAATACAGTCACAGCATCTTCTGGCTGCTACACTGGTGTAGGGTGGAGTTTCATCTAACTAGGGCTTATTTTGGGGGCAGGGTTTATATTATGAGCATCTTTAAAAATCCTACTAGGGCTTATTTTCAGGTTAGGTCTTATTTTTAGGGAAACAGGGTAAGTAAGTAAGTAAGTCTACTGGGACACATCTGCACTAAGCACTGACACCAGGATTTTCCCTGGTGTCCACTTGATTGAAAACTGAAACCAGGACCATCAGTCTCAAATCAGGGGAAACAGCCTTACTTCCCGGGTTGATTTTTTTAACAACACCACCAGGCTGTGGTGTTTCTTTCCCCCCTCACTGCTATGATTTACACCCATACATAATCTGTGTGGACCCTAATACTGCATTGATCCATGCTAGTCCATTCTGTTTGAAAGTATGTCGATATAGACAAATCCTTCTTCCTCTAGAGAAGGCAACAAAAGGGTAAGAGCTCACACTCCTTGTTAAGCATGTTGACAGTAACCAGGTACATTTAAGACTCAACAGAGACTATAACAATGCCTATAGATGGAAGACGGCAGAGGGCTGGAATACACTACTGTAAATCCCTTTTCCAATCAGTGTCAAGACTTCAAATTTCTTCCAGTTTCCAAAGTAGATCTCTGAAGGACAATGTTTGATTTCATAGACCTCCTACATATATAATGCAATCTTATGATGTCTATTCAGATATGTATCCTATGTGCCTCAGTGGGGCTTATTTTTTTTAAAAAAACCAGGAAACTGAAATTGAAGCTAAAGTGAAGCTAGCAATAGTAACAATAACTTTATTTGATGAAGAGTAGATCTGATTTCTCCAGCTCTTCTATGAAAAATCATACCATGGCAGAAAGTGACGTAGGCTATGCTGATGCCCCCAATTTCAGAGTCACTGAAGCGTAGCAGGAAAGTACCGACTGGTGCTTGGCACAGATGGCTGTTAACATAGTCCTTGCTAACAAAGCCCAAGATGAGCCTGGGTTGCACAGATTGACAGGAGAGAGAGAGAGAGATTTTTTTTTTTTTAAAAAGTGACACCATATAGCACTGCAATGATTCCAAGACTGCCACATTACAGTATACCAAAGAGAAAATTTAAACTATCTGCACACATTTTGGGGCCACAGGCACGACGACACTAGCAAGCTGAATCAGAGCAATTTGGCTTTGTTGCAACTTGTCTTGCAGCCTGTTTTACACTTCTGTTTGGATTAGGTGATCACATGGGGACAGTGGATTGTTTCAATGCCACTGTCCACACTGGCCCTTCAGTCCTTAGAGGAAACCATAGCCCATAGCCCCCCTTCCTTTGCTCCTGCCCTCTGCTAATCCCCACCTCTTCTTCTATATGCATTCTAAACCTAGTGGGCTGTTTAAAGTGTTGCATGGAAAAGGGAGAAACATAGCAGCCTGCTGTAGTTGATCAGAGTTGCTTCTATTTCGTATTGATTTCTGTCTTTTTTCTTTTTGTCCCTGGAGGTGATTTAGTGCTAAACTCAGTTTCTCTTTTAAAAATTTAAAAATACTTTGAGACAATTAGGGGGAACGATTGTAGGTGGGGGATATTCTCGCTGTCTAAAACATCACACCAGGCTTTGCACATCACCAGAATACCACACACAGTCCCACTTCCTCATGTTTTTAGAGAACAAAACAACGGATTACAGGGGGAAAACACTTTTCAAATCGCTGCAGCATTAAAAAGGAAGAAGCCCCTAGTGGAAGGGGGAAAAACTCTATATCCAAAGAAAAAAGGGTCAGCCTGATTTTGCACTGGCCTTTGTATCATGTCATCAGTTTAAAAAAGTTTGAATGCATCCCTTCCACAAAAAAATCTACTCATATATAAGACTGTCGGTGAAGAAACAATTCATGGAAAGTCCACAGAATTATGTGCAGCATGCACCTGATTTTTTTTTAAAGAGGGCAGGTATTTCTCCTGCATATATATCTGCTTCTTCAAGAATATTAAAATAATTATATCCTGTCAAATCCATTCTGACGGAGAGCAAGCTTCACAGGGTTACTTTACTCGGGGATAGTTTACCATCTATCCTATTTAAGATCTGGGATCATGTAGCTTATGCCCACGACCGCATAGGCAGCAGGGCACATTACCCATCAGCCACACATGCTGTTTTTGGATGATCTTGACTGGGTCTTCTCCTGGGAGGGACAGTGCAGATTCACACTCCCAACCCATAGTTCCATAGCCAGGAATGAGCAATACCAACTCTTTGCTCCTTCATAAGATCAATAAAAGTTACAGTATAATTCAAGATTATTATGGCTAGATAATAATATTGAATTATACAGATGGGAAGCTACATTTTTGTTGTGTGGGATACTTCAGCAAATCTCTGAACCAGAAAAATATTCATATTTTTACTGTACTTGAATTTCTCTGCCTTATTTCTCTCTGTGAATCAGCAATTTCACCTAAACATATGCTCTATTCCTTTCATTCCATCTATCTATCAGCTTTATTACACATGCATCTCCTATGCTCTATTCCTTTCATTCCATCTATCAGCTTTATTACACATGCATCTCACTTTTCCTTCAAAGAGCCGAAGGTGTTATGCAAAATTCTTACCCCATCCACTTTATCTTCACAACAGACCTGCAAAGACAGGACTGGGAGCCAGAAATGGGCCCAAAGTCCTTCAGTGTGTTTTACGGCTCAGTGGAGACTTGAATCAGGTTATCCTCACTCCTAAACTGATGCTGTAACTACTAAATTTGCCACAATCACTTGATCCAGTTGCTCTCTTACCTGTCAGACCAGTATTCTTTCAGGTATTTCTTTGTGAACTCGGTAACTCCTTCAAACCATTGCCAGAATGTGAATGCTCGGCCTGGAAGATTCTCCTGTAAACACCAAGGTGAATGTGAGACCCAAGGGCAAACCCAGTTTTGCGGTCATTCCACCCTTCTTGTGGGACGTGATGGCGCTGTGGGCTAAACCGCAGAACCCTGTGTGCTGCAGGGTCAGAAGACCAAGCAGTCATAAGATCGAATCCACGCAACAGAGTGAGCACCTGTCACTTGTCCCAGCTCCCGCCAACCTAGCGGTTCAAAAGTATGCGAATGCGAGTAGATCAATAGGGACCACCTCGGTGGGAAGGTAACAGCATTCCGTGTCTAAGTCGCACTGGCCATGTGACCACAGAAGATTGTCTTCGGACAAAACGCTGGCTCTATGGCTTGGAAACGGAGATGAGCACCGCCCCCTAGAGTCGAACACGACTGGACAAAAAATGTCAAGGGGAACCTTTACCTTTACCTTTACCACCCTTCTTAACAAAACGCAACGAGTCACCTTATTGAACTGGGACCATGACACTTGGCGGTTCTGGAATTCCTCTGGACTGGCGCTACTGTCACTAAAGATCTTCTGGGCCAAGAAGAAGTAATGTTCCTTCTGAAGGCCTTCAGTGGTCTGCACCTCAGCCATGAACTTCTGGTTGAGAGTCTCACACATGTCTCCCCAGCTGACACGCTCAGCCACCATGAAAGGAATGCGGTTCTGGAACAGGACACAGAAACTGAACCTCACAAGACACACACCATAAACTACAGGAGGCAGGAGAAGATCTATTGTATCTCCCAACTTATGCTGCCTCCTCCGCCCCTCTGCCATAATAGCAACCTAACACATTATTGTAACTGAGGTAATATCAAATATGGGTCCTGATGGCAATTTTTAGAGCACTGTATTTTTAATTTTTTAATTGTTTTATCTGTTTAATCCTTTTATTGTATTTAAATTGTTGTAAGCTGCCCAGAGACCGTTGGGTAGTGTGGGCGGCAAACAAACAAACAAACAAATGGCAGCAAAAACGGAGTTAAGACCATACCCTCTAAATCAGAAGCAGTCAAGGTGCCTGTGGGCCACAGGAGGGCCTGGGGTCACTTTCACAGCACTACAACACCCTTAATTCTTCTAAGAGTCTGACATTAAAAAAATGTTTTTGAATTAATATGCTAGAAACCCCCCTTGAGAACTCTAGGTAGTGTTTGGGAAAATTCTGCCATGCTAACAAAACACCTCCAGTCCTTCCAGACTGGCCCAAGGCAGAAAGTACAAGAGTGGGTTTTTTTTCTGTTTAAAATGTTCATTTTTTTAAAAAAAGTTACAATTACTTATTCTAGCAAACTTTACAATACATAAAAACTGCACTATTTTAACAACAAAAAACATGTAAATTAGCGATTTCACCCCTCAGGCACACCACTAAGTCTACCTCCCAACTCCCTTCAGCTTAACCAACGCAACCCAGTCACTGTAAACACATGCAGGGGTGTTTTTAGGCCCCCACGTTTCAATATCAGCCTGGAAATGCGAGAGGCTACTGGCCGTGTTGGAAAAGTTCACAATGCAAAATGTCCTTCCAAAAATAGGACAATATTTGTGTGCTAAAAAGCTCCAACGGACAGCTCAGGTCTGCTCAGATCACCGCAGTGCTAAGGCAGGGAGTGGTAAGAACACGCTGTATTTTTCTTCCTTACCTCCATGCTCATCAGGAACACATTTCTACCCAGTACCAAACCTCATTAATTAGCAACAGCCAAATGTCAGGTGTCTCCTTGTTCAAAAATATTAAAGTGAGACTCTGCTCTTCAATTTTGCCCCACAACAAGCAGCCTTCTGAAAACACTGTCTTTACCTCAGAGGCGCTTAAAAGTCTTGGGTTTTAGCTAGAGTCAATCCCTTACCGTGGTGGCAAAACCGTTGTCCCATAAGATGGTGGCTTTGGCGTTGCTGTCTTGGTTACCGTGGACGATCACAACAATGGGCAGTGAAAGGGCCTGGAACAGAAATAGCAAATGGGGAAGGACACTTTCAAATACTTTCTTTATGCATTTTTATTGTTATTGGCTATGGTGTTGGACTGGCAATCTTAGAAACATAAAAGCAGGGAACTGAAACAAACCATGGGTCCTGTGAGGAGTTCCCCTGTTTGGGACTCTGGCCAGCCTAGAAACAAAGTCCTGGGATGCAGCGGCGATTAGTTTTCAGAGGAAAGCACCTCTTTGGGACTCTGGCCAGCCTAGAAACAAAGCCCTGAGGCACAGTTTGGGATGCAGCGACGATTAGTTTTCAGAGGAAAGCCCTGTGAGGAGTTCCCCTGTTTGGGACTCTGGCCAGCCTAGAAACAAAGTCCTGGGATGCAGCGGCGATTAGTTTTCAGAGGAAAGCACCTCAACTCTCTGAAGCGTTCCGCCAAATTATGCTGTACAGGCCTAAATGGTCTAGGTTTGGGGCTGGCTATATATTTGTTGGAAAGCCTTTTCGTGAACCATTCATCTACAACTACTCTCCTCAGCTTGCTGTTGTAACGCCTTGATCCTCTCATGGAACCCTGGCAGTTGAACCCGAGGACCTGACAAGACTCACTGATTCACGCTGCCTCTGCTGCTTCCTCGTGGATCCCAGTGTTATTATTTGCTCTGCAGACCTACGCAGATATTATAACCTTTTATTCCTGGTCATTGTAGTTTCTCCATTCAGAGAGAGGATGGAAACAGGAACACTCTTCTCTCCTTCATTCCTCTCCTCCATTCATTCCTCTGCCCCCTTCTCCGCCTCTTTCACCCCCTTCCCCCGATTTTGCCCAGTGTCCTTGCAAGCCTGCCTACTTTCTGCCCTGGTGCAAAAGGAGCTCCAGATTGCACTATTATAAAGACTTTGTTATGTATACTTGGCATTTCCATCGGTGCTAAGGCTGCGTTTTAAATAAACAAAACCACATGAAACAGTGGAATTACATGAACAGCATGAAAGGAACAGAATGGAAGAGGAATGCGATGCATGATGTTCCAAGCACAAGAAGCACACCTGGGTTAATTTTAGTGCTAGCCCACTTTATTTACTGATGTAGTGGTAAATTGGTCACAGAACACTTTAAAAAATTGAAAATGAAAAATGATTGCTATGGTAGTCACCATATGAACTGGAGTAGGGGGCCAGATTAGACATTCCTGCAGCATTCCTGCTTATTATTAAAGCTAAGAGAAGCACCCCCAATACCAACACAACAACAAACAAGCACTGCAGCTGAACAAAATATTCTGGATATTGATGCAAAATGTTGGAATCTACACAGTACAGTATAAGCAATAACATAGTTTGGCCAATGGCAGAAAACCTGAAAAAGTCAGTGAAGACAAACAGAGAAATCTGCAAGACAAAATGCCCCCCCCTTAGGTCCTGAGCTGCAATGTCCGAAGCATTAAAAGCCAAGTTAGCTAATGTGAGCTCAAAAGTTTCTAGTATGCACTAGAAACAGTTGTTAGCCTGGCATTAGAAAAGTGCATTTATTACACTTTTAATGAATCCAAGGGTCTGAGTATCCCAGCTGGAATTTCTTCCAGGACTTGATCAGATGGACATATTTCCTCCTCTTTGGAGGACTGTGGAGACAGGTTGGTTCACTTTTTCCCCAGTAACCAGAGGAACCGATTGCTAGAGTGAACGAATACATCCCCTGAGCGCCCCAGAGTGCCCCCATAAGCAACTTTCTGAATTCCCCAGTAGCTTCTATTTTTTTGGTGCAGGTCTGTTCCTGACATGTGCAATCACAGGAAATGGACCACAATTAAGCCTTGCAGTTGTCAGAGCTGCCAAGGCTTCTTCCGCTGTCAATTTTCAGTATTGTGAAATGGCTTAATCTAACACTTCCCCTGCTCCTATGAGGAGAGACATGGTAAGTGAAATTGTTTGAAGGTTTTTTTCCCCTTTTTTTGCCTCTGCTGGACTATCACTGGTATGCTGAATCATTTAGATTAAATGAAAAAAAAATCTGTGCCTTTGTGTGAATAGAAATAGAAAATAGAGGGGCAAGGTTAATGTTCAATTTGCCGCTATGCTGAAGTGGCTCATTTATTAAGTCACTTCATGATACTGGAAAATAACGGATGAGTGAGCTGGACTAAATGGCATATCACTCCTACCTGTGACCTCAGATGACCTTATAGACCACACCATTCTGCTCCAATAGGGCTTTGTGTAGTTACAGCCTCTTTCCCATGAATTAGTTAGCCTTGTGAAGTGGCTGGTTTTCAGAATGTAAGTACAGTACAAGGTTCCTTTGAAGTTTGATTTCACACACCTGGAAGAACCACCTATGCAATATGCCAGTGCTTTCAGCTCAAGTTACAAGCTATCTGTAACCTGTGAAAGGCCTCTTTCTTGAATATGGAGAAGGTCACAACATAGAGAGACATACTATACTAGAAGAGACAAGAAGACACATCTCTTCAAAGTGGCCTACAAACTGTTTCTTTAATGAGTACTATATCAGTTTTAATCGGTTGTTATAATATTGTAATTGTTTACGTCATTTCAGCTTATTTTTAAATTTGTTTTCAATTAAGTTTACAAGCTGCCTTGAGTGATCCCTTACTAGAAAGGCAGAAAAGACAAGCCATCCCTCCCTCCCTCCCTCCCTGTTACCCACATCCTCCTCTCTTTGGTTTCTGAACCTCCAATATTAACTTTATGATGTGCACTTATGGTGATCCTATGAATTAATGGCCTCCAAAAGGTCCAGTGATCAATAGCTCTACTCCGCCTACTCCACTCTTACAAACTCAACAGCATTGGTTTCCTGTATTGGATCAATCCCTCTGTTGTTAGGTATTCCACTTCTCCTACTGCCTTTCACTTTTCCCAGCATTATTCACTTTTACAGTGAGTTCAGCCTTCCCATGACATATTCAAGCTATGATAGCCACAGTTTAGTCATTTTAACTTTAAATGGAGAATTTAGGCTTGTTTTGACCTAATGCTGATTTGTCTTTCTGGAAGTCCATTATATCTATAATGTTTCCCTCCAATATTACATTTTGAATTATTCAAATTTTTTCCAGTCAGCTTTCTTCATGATCCAGCTTTCATATCTGTACACTGTGATCAGGAACACCATACTGTGGTATTCTTACTGCTCTGGAACTGCACCCCTGCTGTTGCTGACATTAGCTTGGGCTAACAGCCAGCATCCCAACTATCTCAGGAACTCAGAGCTTAACCTAGGGTTATCACCATTCCCTGGCATGGCATCTCCAGTGTTAAGCCCTGGCAGAAGCCTGCACACAAGCACCACAATAGCTGTTAGAGGATTTATAATTGTGCAACTGGTAGAAGGAAATATATTTCCCACACAAAAGCTGTGCGCATACCACAGCCTTATAGATATATAGCTAATTAATCATGATCTTACACAACCTGTTTAAGGTTTTTAAAATTCCAATAATACTACTGCCTCTGATTATCCCTACTGATATGGTACGGTATTAACTATAGTACTGCTGAAGCTTTAAAAAACATCAACCCCCCATTTATAGTTCCAGAGCATATAAGCAGCCAATTCATGATGAGGGGCAGGGGGAACTCACCAGTGGCACAGTGGTGCCTCAACTTACGACCATTATCTGTTCCAGAAGATGGATGTAACTCGAAATGGTCCTAAGTCGAAGCACCATTTCCCATAGGAATGCACTGAAATGCAATTAATCCATTCTGGCCGAAGAAAAAAAAATCACCAAGAAAAAAAATCACTGCAAGACTCATTTCCATAGGAATGCACTGAAATGCAATTAATCCAGGGGGGGAGAAAAGCAATCAAGTGTGCAAGACCCATTGGAAATGCACAGAAAACAAACGGAGCAGATCGGAAATGCACAGAGAACAAAGGGGGCAGGTCGGAAATGCAAAGAAAATAAAGGAAAAAGCAAGGAAAACAAAGGGGGCAGGTCGGAAAGGCAAAGAAAGGAAAAAGCAAGGAAAGCATGTAGAACCCATCAGAAATGGGGAAGCCCCCCAAAAGCAACCAACCTCCGAAGACCCATTGGAAATGGAGGAAAAATGCAAAAACAAAAAAATGGGGAAGCCCCCCAAAAGCAACCAACCCCCGAAAACCCATTGGAAATGGAGGAAAAATGAAAAAACAAAAAAACCAAAAAAACCAAGACCCATCGGAAATGGGGAACCCCCCAAAAAAAGCAATCAAACCCCTCAAGATTCATTGAAAATCGGGGGAAAATGCCCCCAAAAAGCAACCAAACCCCTCAAGATTCATTGAAAATGGGGGGAAATGCCAAAAAGCAAACAACCCCCCAAGACCCATCGGAAATTGGGGGGAACCAAAAAACAAACCCCCAAAGACCATCGGAAATGGGAAAAAAACACTCCAAAAAGCAACAACCCCCCAAGACCCATCGGAAATGGGGGAAAAACCCAAACAAACAAGACCCTCCAAGACCCAGCACAGCACAGAAACATAACCCCTCCAGCTCAAAACCACACTGCAAAAACATCTAGAATAGTTTTTAAAAAGCACAAAACAGCACCTTACCTTACCAGGCAGCCCAAAGCCTCCCTGCAAACACACACTCTCTCTCTCTCTCTCACTCAGAAGCAGAAGGAGGCAGTCCGAAGCCTTCTCCAATCGCACATTCTTACCCAGCACAGCACAGAAACATAACCCCTCCAGCTCAAAACCACACTGCAAAAACATCTAGAATAGTTTTTAAAAAGCACAAAACAGCACCTTACCTTACCAGGCAGCCCAAAGCCTCCCTGCAAACACACACTCTCTCTCTCTCTCTCACTCAGAAGCAGAAGGAGGCAGTCTGAAGCCTTCTCCAATCGCACATTCTCATTAACTGCTGGGGCGAAAAAGCTACAAAGAAGCAGCCTCTTCGCCTACCAATAGTTAGCAATTTGAATTTTCTGCCTTTTCCCCCTGCCTTTTTCAGTTCGTAACTGGAAGCTCCGGCTGCAAGTTGAAGCAAAATTTTGCGGCCGGAGCTGGTCGTAACTCGAAATGGTTGTAAGTAGGGATGTTCGTAAGTTGAGGCACCACATATTTGGTTACATAAGCGAAGCCTTTAAAGAATCTATCTATGCCATGATTTATAACAGTAAGAGAACTTCAGCACACCTCCAACCAGATGACAAAGATGAAATAATCTAGATGATGAAATAACCCTTGGCAGTGTGGTTACCTGCATGAGGAAGCTGGCTTTGTTTGGACCAAGGCTCACACTGGCCCTGAAAAGAACAGCACATTTCTCTTCCGTCACAGACTCTGTGCTCTTACGGTCGCAGCGCTTAATCTTCTTGAGGAGCTGAAGGAAGAGAAAGGCAAAATCATCCATTTTACTAGGAACAGTGTCACAGATGCTGGAGGCCACGGAAGCTACTTCAGCTTCTGCTTTGGGACACCAATTTTAAATCTCAGCTCCCCACCTATTCATTTGGGATCCTGGACGTCTCCTGAATCACAGAGCTATGTACAGAAGCAGATTAAAGCTGTATATAGAGAGGCCACAAAAGGGGGGGGGGATAGGGAAGAAAGCCTCCTTGAGAGAGCACCCTGGAGTTCCCCACTTCACACTGCAGCTGGCAGTTTGTTTGGTTTCATACTGACAACTTTCTTGTTTAAAAAATATTATCTGTAAACATACAAAAGGACAGAATGGAACTGTTCTCCTTAGTGGGCCAGTGTTCTCTTGACCAGGAGATCTATTGTTTTAAACAGGATGCTGCCGTTTTAATATCCCCTTCCTGCAGTGTGAAATTATATAGATCAGTAATTCCCAATCTTGTATAAACCCAGGTTTCTTGGACTGCAATTCCCAGAAGTCTTCACCACCAGCTGCGCTGGCTGCGGTTTCTGGCAGTTGCAGTCTAAGAACACCAGGCTTACCCAAGGTTGGAACCAGTGATATAGACCTAGACCATGACCTCTCCACTACAGTGGTGCCCTGCATGATGATGATAATCCATTCCATAGAAATCGCTGTTTAGCGAAAACATCGTCATGCGAAAACCGTTTCCCCATTGGAATGCATTGAAACCCGTTTAATGCGTTCCAATGGGGAAAATACATCATCGTCCTGCGAAGATCACCCATACGGAAGCCATTTTGCGAGCGCCAATCACCTGTTAAAATGGCTGTCCTGCGAAGCATGGGTCCCAAAAACACAGGGAAGTCATTTTGCGAAGCTGCCGATCAGCTGTAAACATTGTCATCTTGCGAAAAAACGGTCCGCGAAGCATGGACCAAATCATCGTCCAGCGAAAATCCCCCATTGGAATCACTGTTTTACGAATTGCTATAGCGATCGCAAAACCTCATCGTCATGCGGATTGGTCATTTTATGAGGTCGTCGTCTAGTGAGGTACCACTGTACCTCAAAACTGTCTTGTCCTTTCCTAGTGCACCTGCAGACCAGGCCCAAGCCTTACCATCCAGGGTGTATAACATTATTACATTTCTAAAGCTAAGTATGATAAAACCTGGTCAGGAGCTCTGTAGGACGCTGGTTCAGAATTAGATTTGTGATTTCTAAAGTAAAGCAAACAATAGATAAAAAAGAAGCAAGCAACCAAGCAAAAAAGCTGATTGTGAGATACCGTAACTTTCTCCCAATTTACCAGTAATGGTGCTACCTAGAGCTAGTTGATTTTGCTTCAACCCATCACCTATAAGGCTGTATTTCTTCCTCAACATTCCCTTTCCCACAACCCACAGCTGCTGTATGTACCATATTTTTGAAGACAGCACAACAGGCATTGCTTGTGGCATTTGTCTCCAGAGGTGCTGTATTGTTCACAATTTCTCCAGTGTTTTCACTGAAAGCAAAAGAGAGCAAGCATAAGTATGCATTTCAAGTATGAGGAAGTGGTTTAATACTGCAGACGGCTTGCATCAAACTTAAGTGTTTTCAGTACCAAACCACATCCCAGCATTGGTAGCTCTGTATCTAAATAAACAAGCAAGATGAAGCCAGTGAAAAGCTTTGGTATATATGGGGTGACAGGCATACCTTCTATGGTTAAAAAAAACACTGTATACTTAGAAGGAGAAAAGGTATGCCAAAATGATTTGAAACACCAGAATATGCTAGCTTTAGGTCTGGAAAGAGGATAGAAAATCTCTCTCTATATATGGTTTGTGGATGGCCACTCCTAGAGAGGTCTGGAAAACGACCACCAGGAACCGGGCCTTCATGGTGGTGGCTGCCATGCTATGGAATGCTTAATCTGCAAATATATGCCAGGCTCCCTCCCTTTCAGCCTTTAGGAAAACAGGTAAAAACCACAACTATCCATCCCAACCCACAAAATGATAAATAATGAGATCCAGAGCAAAACAGTAATACCCAAAATATAAAATAAACCTAGAGGCAACAGCTAATCAAAATCAGTATCTAATTCATGGATCCGCCCGGATTGTAAGAGTTGTAAGATGTTTCTGAAGGCCTCTTGAAACAATATTGTTTTAACTGCTGTTAGTTGCCCAAAGTAGTGCCTAGGCACTTAATGGGTGGGGTGTAAGAGTGTGTGTGTAATGCACGCGTGCACACACACACACACAGAGTCAGTCACAGAGTATATTAAGCCAGCTCCTTTCAAGACCTTTAACAGGATCTAAGCTTTCTGCAATGCTTTATGCAAAGTGGTCTTCAAAAATCTAGATCGTTAACCAGATGCCTATGTCGCTCCCAAGGCTGTTTTTTATGCAAAGTGGTCTTCAAAAATCTAGATCTAGATAGTCAACCAGATGCCTATGTCGCTGCCAAGGCTATTTTTCAGGCCCTCCCAGAGCTGCCCTAACACCACTGCCAAACTTGCATCACTAAACCTGTTGGTTTGCTTGCTTGTTTCTCTGTCTTCACAACTTTCCTGTTTAAAAAAAAATACTTCCTGCAAACAGAAAAGTTTATGGAAGGAAAAACTAGGGCTGCTCTCCTAGAGGGCCAGTGTCCTCAAACAGAGGTCTCTAACAAAACTTCACAAAGATATTGCTGCCAAAACCACTTCCTCTTTTTTCCTTCCTCATTGTCAAAACCAGAAAGCATTTCTTCCTGTCTTCTACAAACCCCGCTGCCTGTAGAACTTTTAGCACAGGGTTCTGCTATTTTCACTTCAGTGGCAACTGAGGTGGCAAAAACCGTCTGTGTCAGCCACTGAATTCCTGTAACAGCAGCATTGACAAGACCACATTCAGTGGCAAAGTGGCCCACAGTTGCCTCCAGCTGGTCTAATGCAGCTTCTCAAAGGTGGGGAAAATGTCCACCTTTGCACTGCACATACTTTAAATGGTGTGATTTCATTAAATAAGTGAAGTGACAATTGGGTATGATGGGAAAGCAGTGTAAAGGAAGATGAGAGAGAAGACAGAGGAAGCCAAAATATGGAAGTACAAAAAGAGGATAATCTCTTTTCCAAGGAGTAGTTAAGAGAAGCTGCTAGGAGAGCCATTAATAGAGCAACTAGAGGCAGACATTTGCAGGGTGTGTAAATGAGGTGGGGTTGTGATTTTGCTACAGCAACAGAAGATTCTCTCTCTTCAATATCATCTAGGTATACACCTGTTTCTGCTGATGGTTATGATCAACTGTACCTAACACCTAGTTTAGTTACTGCATTTTGTCATAGTTTGATGCAGGAATCAGATGTAGGGAGTCATCACAGCCTAGGCCAAGAGCTGGAGATCAGCTCGGGATGTTCAGTGGTGTTTGTGAAGTGGCTTCAAGCATTACTCCTTAATGGAAATGCAAGATAAAATGTAATAAAGAAATAAACAATACAAACTAATAGCCTCAATAGTATCCAAAATTAAATGAAGTCTTTGGATCCTGACCATTAGCTATGCAACTGGCTCCAGTCTTCTGATCCTAACTTTCTTGTGACTGTTATAGGCTATCAAGACACTTAACAACTTATGGTTCCTAATGGCACTTCTCTTAGCTTACTGATACACTCAGATACCCTCACTATGTTAAAGTATGCATTTAAGAGGAGCCAAGTAGCAAAAGTATCAGCAAAACGATCCCCACCAATCTTGCCTTGAAAGCTTGTCGAAATCAGGAGTGGGGATTTGTGTGGAAGGACTGTAAGCTCTGTCCAGTTCTAATAAGGGAAACAATTGATGACTAGAGATGGGCACAAACCTTGGCTCAGATGTTTGTGCTGTGCATTCCTTTCCCCCGCCTCCCCAGCCAATGCCCCACTCACCAGCCAGAGTTTGTTCCTCCCCTGCCTCCTTGGGCAGACGCACAGGCTTGCCTGTCCTGCCTTCTAGTCAGAGTGGGCGATTAGCCAAGGAGGCAGGGCAGAGAAGCCCATGCTCCTGCCAGGGACTGGCTGAACAGCTGAAGAGGGGCAGAACAGGAGCATGCTCTGGCTGGTGAGGTGGGAGAGGTTTGTGCTCATCTCTACTCCTGACCTCAATATTTCTTCTGAGCAGATGTGCATTTTTATCTGGTCCTAAGTGATGGATCTTGGATTCTACCCAGTGGCACTACCATGGTTGACAGGGCCTTGGGCAACATGCCTTTTCTGCATGGACGCCCACACATATACAGTACCCCAACACATTCTCTTCTTGATGGCAATCTTTCTTCTTTTCCATCACCAGCACTTTCTATTTCCTATTTTCTTTCCGTCTCACTCCCTCTCTTTCTCTCCCACCTTCTGCTTTCTCCCTCTTCTCCTATTTATCATTCCTCCCAAGACTCATATTTTGTTGTCAATGGGTCTACTCTACATATGATGACATCTGGATCCAAACCAAAGTATTTTGTTTCCTTTTATCAACATGGGGTGAGGCTGGATGAAACAGGGAATGTGACCGGAACAACATGCCAAAGGATGATCTTTCCTGCTGCTTCAGGATTTATGCCTTCCTCCAATTCCTTTCTCTTGTCGCATTTTTTAAATAAAATACCAATGTGATGGTCAGAACGATTGGGCTGAGGATTGGGGTGGGGTGGGGGCAGACTCAAGATTCCGATCCTTTCTCCCCTTTTCTTTTTGTTTTCACATTGCCTCTCTCCCCAACCCCAAAAGTGCCCTCCTCTGCTCCCAAGCAAAAATAAACAACTTCTTGTCTCTCTTAAGTCTCTTTTGTATGACATCTATAGAGAAAACACTTGAGCGCATTGCAGAGGAAAGAAGCTGCAGCTGTGCTTGGCATCCTGTCTTGGGGTTCATATGGGATTCTAAAGAACACACTGGAGAAACAATGAGGCTGGACGTCACTATAGCTTCCATCCACTGTTTGCCCAATAGTCTTCTTTAACGTTAAAAGGAATGAAAGCCAGGAGAGGCCAAACGAGGTCCTGTTTCCTGCTAGTAAGGAGTGTAAACACCAGGGGAAGAAGAGAGAGTCATCCATGGTTTAGGCATCTGGCTGTGGAGCCAGAGACTGGGAGTTTGATTCCCCCACTGTGCTTCCTGAGAGTAGAGCCAGCCTGGGTGGCCCTGGGCAAGCTGCAGGGTCCCAAGACACCCCTAGAAGAAGGGAATGGGAAATCACTCCTAGAAAACTGGAAAAGGGTCACCATAAATAAGTCAGAATTGACTAGACAGCACATGGTTATTATTAAGAAAATATAGAAAACAAGTGGAAGGAGGAAGAAAAAGAAGAAAGAGTGTGCACTGGTGAAGGGAGGAAGGATGTCATTGCTTGGTAGGGTTTTTTTTTTAACTGAAAAGTTGTGGGGAGGTCCCCTAGTCTTAGCCTGGTATTCCAACCCAGGCAGTGCTTCAGCTTGCATTTAAAAAAAGAGGGAGAAATCTTTTTTAAAAGCTGCCTAATCTTTTCCTAGAGTTTGTCAGATTCCACTTGAAAGTGCAGTATTCAAAACAGAAAGGAGTTGCTTCCCTTCACTCTAGTGAGTCATAGTGTCCATATTTCAAGACTTTGGGGTGCCCTGACCAAAGGAAGCACAGCTAACAAAGCAGCAAAACTGCAAGAAGATTGGCTATAAAGTTGAAATGGTTTCACGCACCTGAAAACAGTCCCAGAATGGTTGGTGGCCAGTTCCCGGGCCTGCTTCTCTGTCACAATATCAGCTGTGACCATGAAGGATGTGTGTGGAGGCTTGAGCAAATGAGGTCCCAGCAGGAAGCGAACCGTCGCCTGAAACTTGGTTTGGGTCTTCAGAACTTGTGGAGGCTGCTTGTCCACCAGAAATGAGCTGCAGGGGAGACACAGCTAGGAATCGTGCATCTGCAGAAGGGTGCAAAGCCCAAAAAGGCTTACACCAAACAAAAAACATATTAGCCTTAAGGGTGCCACAGGGCTCCTTGTAGCACAAGGGAAGCAGCTTCCAACAATCAGTGACAAATCTCAATGCCCGACACTCCCGCTGGGCACAGTGAACAGGAAGAATCAACTGCTGAAGACCCCAAGGTCAAAAAAAACAAAACAAAAAACAGCCACCTGGGTAGGGACCCTGCATCTCCTCTCAACAGCTGCCAAAGCAGAGTCAAAAGTGCTGCCTGGAGGATATCAAGGCTGTTGAGATTTGTCCCCAGTTCACCTTTGGGTAAATGCGTAAATCTCCACCTTCCTTTCACAAAGAAAAGCCTTCTTTAAAACTGAATTTGACAGGTGGGTTGATTGAGATGGCACTTGTAAGGCTAACATGTTTTAAAGCAAAGTTTTAAAATGTTGGTAACAGGGAAGAGGAGCAGAGGGGGAAATGGTGGAAACAGAAATCAAGAAAGGGAAGGAATTTGTCATGTGCCGGGAAACAGAAATTACCCACTCCACTGAGATGCTCAGAAAAGAAAAGAAAAAAAGACGCTGGGACTCAACAGTCATTACTCTGCTACTGAAAATATTGCTAAATGAAACAAATTGGCAAGATGCATAAACATGGGACAGCAGCGCTCTGTTTGCACAACAAATATTCGGTCTTCAGGAAGTGATCTCAGACTTACAGAATTGCTAGCGGGCAAAACTAACAGTCTTGGTTCCCTCTTATTTCAGAGAACTAACCATATTTTAAAAAACACACAGAGCTGTTGCAGCTCTGCCCTTAGTTTCTAGTTTTACACAATGAATGACAGGATGGAATTGTTTTTCCCTGTGTTGTTGCTCAGTGGCAGGATAGCTCAGTGGTTTAGGCACCTGGCTGCGGAGCCAGTGATTGAGAGTTCGATTCCCCCACTGTGCCTCCTGTGGGTAGAGCCAGCCTATGTGACCTTGGGCAACCTGCACAGTCCCAGAGCACTCCCAGAAGAAGGGAATGATAAACTATTTCTGAGCATTCTCTACCTAATAATAATAATAATAATAATAATAATAATAATAATAATAATAATAATAATAATAATAATAATAATAATAATAATAATAATAATAATAATATGTTGTTGTTGTTGTTGTTGTTGTTGTTGTTGTTGTTGTTGTTGTTGTTGTTGTTGTTGTTGTTTTCATCCACCCTGCTGCTAACAGCCAGCGTGAGGTATTGGTGGTGGGGGGGAGGTAAATAGCACAAGAGAATGGTGTCTAGCCATATGTTATATGAAATTTCTGGGAAGAGAGGGACAGAAGCAGAGTTGGCAGTGGGTCTCTGCCTCTCCTGTGTTGTACCTCCTGCAAAGATTTGGGGTGAGGCACAGGAAGAAGCTGGAAAAGTTTCTTTCCTGGACTATAATTCTTGTAGCCATGCTGGCTGAGGGATTGTGGGAGATGTAGTCCCCAAAGAGTAACAATTCCAAGCTTTAGCAACGGGGTTGTTATTGAGTCAGAAGAGTGGACTCCTAGGTTTTTCTGTAGATGTGATTACTGCATTCTTGAATGAGCAACAACCCTATCCTTAAGCTCCCACTGGAGCTTCACTATCCCAGAGTCTCCAGCCAGGCTTTCTCCCCATTCCCTCCAGTAATGGATTTCTTGAAGTATCTGCAGACGTGAGGACCCACTGTTTTCTTCTCATAACAAAGTCTAGTCTATGTTGTTTAATCTGCAGAGGGAAAAGGAAAGTCATGTTTGGAAAGGGAGGGGTAGTATTTAGCAGCTTCCTTACTTTTTGATGAGGGCACTGAACACATTATCCAGACGCTCCTGAAGACAAGGCTGAAACTCAGTTGCAAAGGCCATCAGTTCCAGGCGGAGCTGGAAATAAATATTCACCAGGTTTTCAAACCTGCCAAGAAACATACCAGAGCCAGGTTTAGTTTTCTTCACAAATTAAATTACCCCACCGAATCCAAGATGACACAAACTCCAAAAGTAAAGTATGCTGACCAGTTGCTTTTGCATCCAGCTTTAAAGAAGCTTGTGTTTTCAAGTCTGCCAGGGTTTAGAGGAACATCCTAGATGGTCAGCAAGTGACCAAGAACAAAAGCCTTTCAGGAAAGAAGATCAGTGGTTTAGAAATCTGGCTGTGGGAGCCAGAGGTAGGGTGTTCGATTCCTCATTGTGCCTCCTTGACAGGGGCTGGACTTGAAGATCCAGAGAGTCCCTTCCAGCTCTGCAGTTCTTAAGATGATGATGATTATAAGGCTTGGCTGGATTCTTACATTCCTGGCTCTTGGGCTGGCTCTCTGAATGGGCACACCAACTAAAGGGGCTGCAGTTCTTTGGGACAATGTGGTGTCCAAATTAGTGTTAGGCACAGAATTCGGCTTTCTCAGGGTCCCAACTTCATTTAAAAAAAGAGAAGAGCTTAAGGCTGAGATGATAGATCTCAATGCATGGAAATAACACCCGCTAAAATTTCAGAAGACAGATGAGTTGTTGAATGCAGCATCTAGTGCCCGGGTTTTCACTCTGCAATACCTGTGGTCCTGTGGCAGCACCACAGGACTAGCAAAACCAGAATAAATTATGAAAAAGATTAAGCAAGGCAGTCTACAGTTATGCAAAGGAAAACGAATTCTGCACATCTACTGAGCTTGCATAATCTAAACATGGCCAAAGAAGTTAGCTTCTCTTTGCAGAGAATTCTAACAACACTTGCATTGAGAATTCTGATTTTTGTTTTCATTTGCTTTGTGCAGGGTAAACACACAGCACTGCAAACAGGGCATGACAAAGAAATAAAGAATCCAGGCTCTTGGCAAGATCAACTAAACTTCTGACACTTGGAGGCTTCACATTCTCCTCCACAACATTTTTCTTTCTTTCCCCAGACTTGTTGTTCCTCTCTTTGCAGCCTAAGTGGGACAACTTCCAGAACAGAAACTCTACAGTGGGGCAGAGGAATCGAGATCTGGCTCAGCTACTCACCTCTTCTGCAGTGGTCCCAAGTCCTCATCGAAAGGAGCTCCATTGCCAGCCAGCTGTTGCTGTCTTTTCCAGATCACAAGTCTTCTCTGAACCATTTTCGTTGCCTTCTCTAGCTCACCAACCACATTGAGGAACAGAGTTTGAAGGCTATGGAGAGGCTGTGAGGAAGGACACATCATTTGGTAGACAAGATGAAATTAGTTCAACATAAACCAGATTCACAGAGCATTCTGCACAGAGCTAAATGAATTGTGTCTGTGCGAGGGAGAGGAACTGCAAAGATTAACAGCAGGGATCCAAGTGCTAAAAGTAGCTTGCAAAATGCAGTTCTAAAACTGTTCTCCATTTCCAGTGGCACGTATGGTACAAATCAGAAGTGTTTAGACTGCCCATATTCCCCATCTTCAAAATAAGCAGGTGTTGTGATTGGTCTGTACTAAAATTAGAGTTGACATTTCAGAATTCTGGGTTCTGGACTAGATCTCAAGCCTGGGATCTAGCCCAGAACCTAGAATTCTGAAATGTCAACTCTAATTTTAGTATAAATCAATCTCAACGACTGCTTATGTAGAAGATGGGGAATGTGGGCAGTCTAAACACTTCTGATTTGTACCATAATTGCCACTGGAAGCAGAGAGTAGTTTTAGAACCACATTTCCAAGCTGCTTTTAGGACTTAGATAGTTAAAAAACATAGGATATTAAGGTTTGGGATGGAATGAACGAATGTCACAAAACTGTGCCTGCAGAATTAACAAACTACCTTGTCAGCTCGTCTACTTACATTTGCTTGCAGGTTTTCTTGCATAGGATATTGCACATCCAGCGAGTTGAGCTGTGGAGAAACTGAAGACCACAAAATCAGGATTAGTGCTTGGAGATGATTTTCAGGCACAGGCCTCTTCTTCTCCTTCCTCTTAGGTAGGAATCCAAATCACAGTGCTGCTTCCCAACCTCCCTGTGCCTTGCCATGGTTACTGGAGAGATGGGTACAGCATCCATCAGCTGTGGCTTTCCTTGCTGCTCTTCCAGCCTTTCCTTCTCCTCCTTTCATGAGTCATAGCTAGAGATGGGGGTGTTTGTATTCGTATACAAATATCCCCAGACAGGTGGTGATAACGAGGGTCCAGCCCTATGGGGCTGGACAGTCCACTCCCCGATCTGCCGCAGCTGTGGGTGCCGCGGAGCCTTCCAATGGCTCTGAAGATCTCATTCGGCTCGCCATTCATGGCAGGAAGTGGGACAAGCCTTGCTGCAAGGTCGAAGAGTGGCTCGCAGATTGCGCGCTGCGGAGCCATTGGCCGGCTCCGCGGTGGCAGCGGAACAGTAAGTGGACTGTCCATCCCTATGGGGCTGGACCCTTGTTACTGCCACCTGTGCGGGGATATTCGTATACGAATACCCCCATCTCTAGTCAGCCCCTTGCCCAAGGGTCAAAGGGGGCCATGTAGAAGTGGAGGTTTGCTGGGTGACCTCTTCTCCTCTTGTATTATCATGCTCTAAAACAGTGCTTGTGGCAAAAGGGGGTATAAATCTCACCTCCAGGGTCATCCTAGAAAATGGGTCACTCTTGCTAGTGCCATAGGAAATAGCCGGGTTGAGGGGCTCTGGCACTGTATCTGTGTGAGGTGCAAGGAACTGTCTTGGGGTATATAAATTTGCCAGTGAGATTTCAGTGCTTCTCTTTCGGGTGGCCTAGAAGCATCCCCACCACTGTGGCCCTTGAACCGTGGGTTGTGGCTCTGTAGAAGCTGGGGGCATAGCTGGCATTTCTCAATATATGTGATTCAACTTTCTGTTCCATCAGCACTCTCAACCACTTTCTAAATGGGACAGGAGAAGAATACAGTAGCATTTGCTCCTGGTTAGTAGTGGTGTAACTCTCCCACTCCTCAGTCTAAGCATTGCATGGACTCAACAGTTTCTCATGTCCCTTAAATCAAATGTGAGCAGATTTTCTGCCTCACAGGCAGAAAAAACAATTTTCATCTTTCACAGTACAGGTATCAGTTTTCTTTCACAGTATCAGTATTGTGCTGTGAAAGCATAAGTCAGTTGCCAAACAGTCAACATTTTTATAAATCCTACTCAATCAGTGGATCTACCCTAATGAGGACTGTTATCTTATCAGTAATCATTAGTTACAGGCTTTGACATTGTGTCCCTTGTTCTTCATTTAATAATCACATTAGCAGGGCATTAATACATATGTATATACCTGGCACATCTATGGCCAAAATCCTGTTGCTTAATGTAGTAAATTACACTAGTAGGCCCACTGAATCAATGGGGACTTGATGAGTCACTTCCCCTGTAAGTTCCATAAATCCAAACGGGCATACTCTAACTACAACTTACTTTAGTATTCCAAACTGCAGTGAGAATATGGTCATTTGAATCAAGAAAACATACAGAGAAGGTGAATCATTAAACCTCAATTGACTCTATGGGCCTACTCTAGTGCATTTTACTATGCTAAGCAACAGGCCACCAATTCTCCAGCTGTACTTGATGTTAAGTAAATACTGCTGAACAGGGAGGCAATTTCATGAACCCTGAAGTTATCCAGTATCTTCAATGCTTTTGTCATTGTCCCATTCTTCCAGCCCTCCCAGTTGCTTCCCTTCATGTCCTCACCGTTTGGGTTGCTATTCATGTGCATTAAGCTCTCTCGAAGTTCCTGGACATGGTACTGCAGTCTTTGCAAACTAAATTCAAACAATAACTCTTCCTGCTGGCGGTTGATGAAGAGGTGCAGGTGCTGAAACTACAAGAAGCAGTCATCAGTTATGCTGATGTAATATTACCAGTATTACGTTTTGGATTACTCTTGACCCAACTTAAGAAATTACTACAGGTATTGACATTGCCAGTTGCAAGTTGAGTTTTACAACTCAGTACATGACAGACAAGTTATGCAGATTTGTTAATTTGAGGCAATATGCCTCCAAAAGCTATGCCATTTGTATTATGCCAATGTAACTACACAAGAGGATTTGGGTCATTAATTTTTTTGGACTACATCACCCAGAAGCACCCAATTAGATTGGCCTGGCTGTGGTGATTTGGGCATTCTGACAGTTGCCAGCCAAAAACTAATATTTTCAGACAGGCTATCATGCTGTGTTGCTGTAAGAATGAAAAAGGTAATCATGGAAAATACTGTCAGCGACAACAAATAATATTATATAGGGCAGCGATAGTGAACCTATGGCATGCGTGCCATAGCTGGGACACAGAGCTCTTTCTGTGGGCACATAAGTCGAGCCATAAGTTGCTGGATCACTACCCCTGGCAGTCAAACCTGAGGAGGCGGCTGCAGCTGCAGTACTAGTGCCTTGACAGGCAGCGGGCCAGGATCCGGAGCAGCTGGCGCTGGCAAGCCAGCTGAGCTATAGGTAAAGGCGGGGTTGGGCACGACTGGAGGCGGATCTGGAGTGGGATCTGGAGGCACCTCAGTACCCAGGATTCCCACTTCTGCAGCCACTTCTGCTTCTGCCCGCCACCCACTGGGTTGGATTTGTTTGTTTTTTGCAGTTTGGGCACTCGGGCTCAAAAAGGTTCGCCATCACTGGTATAGGGCCATTAAGTGAGGCATGGCATGAAGAAGAGGCAGGTATAGGGAGGCTCAAGGGTTGTAACCCAGGAGTGTCAATGAAAGGGTGTGCACTCTGGTTGCTAGAGAGGTGGGGAGGGAAAGGGTGGCCAGCAATGGAGAGAGCCACAATTTGACACAGCATATGGAACATATACACTGGCACTCTTTCATCAGATGGATGGTGGCTGGACAGACCGGACCAATCGTTACACAGAGCTGGCAGCATTTAAGGGTCACAATGAACGAGCCATTGGGAGGCACCTTACCCGTTGCTGAATGGCTGCTTGCTCCGCTTGTAAGATTCTTCTTACAGCTTCCACCAACTGCAGTGGCTCTCTTCGATATCTGCTCTATAAATATCAGGAAGATGACAAATGCTGTTAATCCTTGTTCTTTCACCACCCCCCATGAGATTGTCCGGTTGTTCTTCCCCACAATGAGACTGGCTTAAATACCTACATAAACAAACATATGACTTCAGATTCTTTTTTGACTGCGCTTTGTATCCCACTCTCAGTGGGGAAGAAAATATATCCACTTCTATCCGTGATGGCACAGTTGATACAAGGTGGAGTTTCAAAGAGCTACCTTTGTAGGTCATCCTGTTCAGTTTGGAGATACCTCTCCGGGTAAGTTTACAGGTAAGCATGACTCTTCTCTCAATTATAGTCTGGGTGCTCTTGCTGGCCTGTGCCCCACATCTGTTTCCTCGGGCTCAGGCCTTTTGCCTAAAATCTTCCCCTCATTATAACAAAGGGAAAGGCCTGGTTCTCCCAGCAGTAGTACCTATGAATCCACTCTGGGTTTTACATTAATTTTAAGTTTTCCAAAGTGCTATCTCTATTTTACGCATAGGGTTAAGTACTTTAGATAGCTCTTGTAAAAGTGCCGACTGAAACCTAGAATAGTCTCTCTCTGCAAAATGGAGTCACCAGCCACTACAATCTCTTGATTGAATCTCTTCCCAGTTCTGCCCTCACAGATGGAGGCAGCCTTTGGAAAGGCCTCCTCATGCACCTCTCATAGGCTGGGCTGAGCATGTTAGTCAAGGGGCTTAATGGCAGTGTCCTTGTGGAACTCTACCAGTCAACGGCCAACTCATCCCAGAGGTGGCCTGGATACAGCTTCCCACCTGAATGTGTAGCCACCAGGCCCATTGCCCCTCCCCGTTTTCTCAGTGGTCTCCCCACCAAAAGCCCATCTCTTCTGGGGAGAACTCCACCGTTAGGTTTTCAACCCCATACTGGAGGTCCAAGAGCCACAGCTAGTGAACCCTCCTTCTCTAGAAACAGTATTTTCTGCAAGATGCAATTCCAATGCTATTTAAATTGCACCTCCTAGATGGTCTCTTGCCAGTTCTGGCTTCACAGAACGCAAGACAGACATTTCAGAGTCCTCTTCCTCCTTTCAGTTAACTACAGTTCCCATGCCATGCAAAATGTCCTCTCCTTAACTAGAATTATTCAAGGAGGACATCTATATGTTGCTGGGTATTTTCAAAAACCAACTGAAAACTGAAAACATGGATGCTTGTACAGGCCTTCCCTCCAGCCAACTCTTGATTACCTTTTCCTTCTCTTCCTCTGCTATCTTGTATAATCTGTTAAATTGCTTGTAGATGTTATAAATTTTGTGTATCTCTGTGTTTTTTTTTAAAGTATCTGGAAGCCGCCTAGAGTGGTCCCTGGACCAGATGGGTGGGGCATAAATTAAATATATATATGTTTACAAGCACTCAGTTCATATACTTGTCATCTGGAATAAATTAGTGGGCAGGGGAATGGGAGATTATGAGAAAACACCAAGGCCAAAATCCTGCTGATCCTGTGTGGCACATGGAGGCAATCATGAGAGCGAGTCTTTTTGCACTGCCAGCCAGCTTTCATGCTTCTCAGCTTCCTCTGATCCAAGAAGCCATGGCACACCTGCTCATGTCCTCTGCCATAAAACTGAGGACATACTGTACAATGAAGGAAAAATGCCACATGATTGCTCTTGCATGCATGGTTTCTCCAAATAGAAAATCTCTGGCCCAAGCATCCAAAGCTACTAGTAATATCTCAGAATGGATCATCCCTGGGATAAAGAGGAAGTAGGAGGTGGCACATCACGCATATAGGGAGGACATGGAGATTGACAGATGATGTATTTTTATTATAACCCTGCATCCCACTGAGATTGCTTCTTTGCCCCACCAATGCTATGGATCCCAGTGGACTACCTATATGGCCTATCCCCTCCAGATGCCACCTTACCCACCCACCCCTTTCTACTGTGTGTACAGATCAGGATTACAGACTCATCTCCCTGGAGCTGTCACTCTGTAAACCCTGGATTCTCTCTGGGTCTTCAAACTTCCCTTTTCTCTTAACACCTGTCCCAGACCTTGTTAAAGAAGGATATGGCCAAAGAGTATATTTTGTCCTGGGTAGGAAGAGTTCCACTCCTTTAATCCCAGCAAAAGAAAGGCCAAATTGTCACAGGTACATAGATAAATCACCAAAGAGGACAGCTGAAGGTAACCACCATTTACCATCTTTCTGTATTGTTTTCAAACAGAGAGAATGACCCTCAGAAGATGGAAGGGCATCATGTATTGATACAGCTTTATTGCTATCCATAAAGGGGACAAGCGGGTAACATGCCATGATTCAGCAATATATGCAATGACAAAGAAAGCCTCAGGACAGGGGTATGGCTGAAGATACCACTGAAACCCACATCCAATTCATGACACTCCCCTACATACCTCAATGCTGCCAATGAGTTGGAGAATTGAGCCAGGGGGGCAGATTTTCTTGGCTAGATCTTGTAATTTCTCCACCATTGCAGATAGCAGCTTTGCTGCTAGAACAACACAGAAAGAGTCCGAACTGTCGTTGATAAATTCCCTGTGGAAATGAGTTCGGGGGGGATGGGGAGAAAAATGGAGGTATATAAGCTACTAAAACCACAGTCATACCTACCCACCTCTTGCTCTTCAAAATCTGATAATCTGGCTAGCCATGTCCAACACATTGTCAGATGGAGACTTTTGTTATGAACTGAAGTGGATTTGTAAAACTAAACATAGTCAGATGCGTGACTCTAAGGGGTCCACGAGGGGGGCGTGTAGGATGGTGGTGTTCTGTTCTCTACCTAGGGTACATACCCAAGGTCTGTGAGGCAAAATGGCCTCTCAAAATGGAAGGCTTTTCCTACAGCTGCCATATTGGTTCCCTACTGGAAGTGGAGACTGTAGGCAGTCCTGGAGGAAAATACTCTGTGGATCTTTGTAACGAAGGATAAAACAAAGAGCCACAGCAGAGAAGAAGCAAGGTGGGAATAAACCCTCTTCCTCTTGAAGAGGAAAAAAGAGTTAGGGTTAGTCCCATCCTCATCTGTATGGGGAAGGTAAGCTAATTATGGAAACTATGGGTTTCTTCTACTCTGGCAAGTAAAGGTGGAAGTAATGACGCTTGACAGCAGTGACACATTTGCCAAAGGAGGGCAGGCTACCACTTCTCTCCGTTTTTTCTTTCTTCAAGCACTGTAGTCTGAGAAACATTAAGGATTTGAAAACATTTTTTCCTAACTGTGGAGAATTAAATTCAGTGTATTTTAAAAGCTGGATATCCATGTTCAGAAGTCATCACACTGAATTCAACCAAACTCATCTCCAGGAAAGTATGCACTTGATACACGCGTTTAGTCTATGGTACCAGGGTCCTACACCTTGAAAAAGAGGTTGTTTTTCCTTCATTTATGGAATAATATGTTTTAAGAGGGGGAAAAATATTAATAGGCAGGGTACTGGTCAAAATCCATATGCTGAGGTTTGTACCAGAAGCCCAAAGTATAAACGTTGTTTAATATGGTATTTGTACTTAAATTTTTTAAAAAATCATTTGGGGCCAGAAGGGAAAGCTTTATTCAACAGATAAAATTGGGGCAGAGGACTCTCAAAAGTTATGCAATTAACAGCATTTTAAAAAGTTTTTTAAAAAGTCCATGGGTTACTACCCCAGACCTTTAAAAATCTACTTTTTTGAACTACAGCACTGTCCATGCTGGCTGCAGTATTCTGAGACATTCAAGAGTAACTTTTCCAAGCTATGTACTAACCTACACAAAACCTGAGTTATATAACTTGTTGTGCCTGTAGCTATTCATTCCAGCCTAATTTGTCTATGCAGCAAAGTAGTAAAAGTAACTAGGAAGCAAATATTTATTATGAAACCCAAACCAAAAATCCTGGCTTGGTTTTTTCCAAGCCAGCCATGTTGACTATCTCCGATTTACAATCCTGGCCTGCTTAGGAGCCAGAATATAGGATCCTAAGGTTGTATATAATGATTAACTATCATTTCTTGATTAGTTCTGCAATGTCATTAAAAGAAGAATCAGATGAGCTGTACACAAAATACATTGCTCGTTAGAAGTCAGGACAAACCAAGCATCCTGGCTTCCCATTATGTGTTAATAAAATCATGTTCTATCTATGCTGACAGGTAAACTTAACAGCAGTGTGCTACCATAGCGGGAAAGGATTTCACTGTTAGCTATTACGAAGGAATTCTTGGCTATCCTTCACAGCTGTAATTTCTTGACCTTTGCGCTTGGGACTTTGTTTGCTGATTGTACAGTATTTGCTCATATGCTTCATCTGATTGCTATAGTCCACGAAGGTTTGAAGGTTTTCAGCTACACAATGTTGTAAACCCAGAGCTTTGTACCTAATAGAGGAAAATGAAAGGAAAATGAAGCAGCACACTTCTCGCTGTCACCTTGCCTACCACTCAGCTCACTTCTTAGAGCCCCTGATATGGATAGGAGAAGCAATAGTTCCAAGTTCACAGAGAATTGAAAAACAAAAGTGGAAAGTGAAAGTTAAGAAACATGGGTCAGTGCAGTGTCAGTGTAGCAAGGCGGGGGAATACTTATACTCTATGGGCATAGGTTCACTTTGCGTGGAGTGATAGGCAGAATGTGAGCTTTCCGCATTGGTCAGGATTGTCCAGAGGGACAGAGAGGGGTTGCGTTACATCAAGTATAAAATGTATTGCTGAATGCTTGAATAGCAGAAACCGCACCCCCCCCAGGTGTGCTCTCTCCGTGCCTGCAGACATGAAATAAAAGCTCGCTTGCTGTAAGTCTTTGTGTGTGCGTGTGTGTGTGCGTGTGTGTGAATAACAGAATACTGCACATAACACCCAAAACTGAAGGGAAAACAGCCAAGAAGACTGGAGGGGTGACCAGATGGCTGGAAAGGGTTGTGCCTGATCCTCATACCAGAAAAAGGGTCCTTTTGCAAGGAGCAATCTCCCTTAAAGTGGCCCTTCTGAGGAATCACTCTAGTCTGGCTCCATAAATCAGAAGCCCTATAATTGGACCAAAAATGACCAGCTTGGGCACAGAGGCACAACTTTGCAAATTTGCAAATGCTGGGAAATAAATCACACCAGACCACACCATAATCAGTCCAAAATGCAATTCATTTCCCCATGTGATGACCCCCGGAGGAAGAGCCAGGCCTGGAGAAGACTTAGCTGCAACATTCTGTCATGCAACGATGGATCTAAGGCAATTGAGGAGATCCCGCCTTACTGTAACTTTGAAATATAACCAAATACATTAGAATTCAGCAATTATATAAACATATGGCTGATGTGTTTTCTTATGTATAGCAAAGTCCAGTGTACAGTAGCTCCCAGTGCACTTTGGGATGCAGTCATTGTTTGAAAGACTAGAGATCACATATCTGTCCTTTAGTAGCAAAAGGTATCATAAAACAATAAAAAGTTTCTTCCTGATCTACTGAACAGAAAAAAATATATCAGTTAGAAAGACAAGCAGATGTGAAAATAATCTTGGATACATCCTGGGAAAAGACTCCCAAAGAAATGCCAATTTAAATGAGCTTTAACAATCCTTTGCATGTATTTTCTATACAGTGGTGCCTCGCATAGCGATGTTAATCCGTGCAGCAAAAATAGCTGCTAAGCGATTTTGTCACTATGCGATTTTAAAAAGCCCATAGAAATGCATTAAAACCTGTTTAATGCGTTCCTATGGGCAAAAAGCTGACCTTAAAGCGAAGATCCTCCATACGGCGGCCATTTTCGCTGCCTCTTAAACGAGGAATGTGTCCCTAAACACAGTGGGCGACCATTTTTTTTACCCGGCGGCCATTTTGGAACTGCGGATCAGCTGTTAAAAAATCATCGCTTTGCGATGATCGGTAAGCGAAACAGGGAACTGATCATCGCAAAGCAAAAAAACCCAATTTAAAACATCGCAAAAAAATCGTCACTATGCAGTTTTGTCGCTAAACGGAGCACCTGTTAAGCGAGGCACCACTGTATATCTACTCCATGTAAGGATTTTCCTTACACACATTGGTGTGTGTAGGTATGTTTTGATTGTCTATGCTAGAAACACAATAAATGCTTTGTCTGGAAGCCGCTTAGAGTGGTCGTAATGACCAGATAGGTGGGGTATAAAATAAATAAATAAAATAAACCCTCCTCATAGATTCTTAAGAGAAAAGTCTCCACACACTCATTCTGCATTGTAGCCTTTAAAGTGATGGATCGTGTAGCAATGATAATGGTATTGTAACTACTTTTCAAGGTGGGGGGTAGAATACATCCAGAAAATGCTAAATTAGAATCCCAGGAAGTTTGGCAAAGACAGACCTCAAATAATCTGTACTAGGAACTCTTATCTTATATGGGATGAAAGAAACCTGATGAATTATGGTGCTGGAAATTACTCTTGAAAAATAATTGCCATTTTAGAATACTAAGGTCCACTGGAGACTATACCGCTCAACTGACTTACCAAGGGTAGTTTTCCAACCAATCCCCCAGGAGGCATCGCAGTTTATATGGAAACTCTTCAAAGAGGCCAACGAACTCTTCTGGAGGTATCTTGGAGACAAAGCTCCACAGTGACATCTTAGAATTGGTCATTCCCAGTGGTAGCAGAAATTCGCTGTTGGCAAAACAGCAAAAATAAGACATTATAGCCAGGTGCATCTCACTAAATATTCAAGAGATGGGAGTTCTTCCACCAACATTGTTACCCCATCCCTAAGAGAATATCTGCAATGTTCCCTACACGGACAGACAAATGGAACATAGGAAGCTAACTTGCATCAATGTCATGGCTTCACTATGGGTACCTCGCTTTTCGGTGGATGTTCAAACCCTTCAAATGTGAATTCCATGAGAAATAGACAAGGATTAACAAGGTAAAAAGGTCTATTCACAAGAGAAGGGGAAAAAACATATTAGAGTAAACAGAAATCAAAGTACAGTGGTGCCTCGCATAGCAATCGCTCCATATAGCGATGAAATCGTTTTGCGATGAACTTTTTGCCATCGCAAGAGCAATCGCTTTGCTAGGGTCCCTATGGGGAAAATTCGCTTTGCGATGATTGCGGGGAAGCAATCATCGCAAAGCCCCCATTTCTGCACATCTGATCGGCGGTTTCAAAATGGCCGCCAGAAAAACAAAATGGCCACCCGCTGTTTTGCCTTGCTTTAGAGGCACCGAAAATGGCCGCCCCATGGAGGATCTTCACTTTGTTAGTTTTTAGCCCATAGGAACGCATTGAAGGGATTTCAATGCATTTCTATGGGCTTTTTAAAATCGCTTAGCGATGAAATTGCTTAGCAGCGATTTTTGCTACACGGATTAACATTGCTAAGCGAGGCACCACTGTATTATAATCAATGTTATTAAGTTGGAAATGTGTTGCTAGAAAGGGGCAACCTAATTCAATTAATTTTTTTTAACAAAAGTTTGTACTTTTGCATTAATATTTCTCCAGAGGTATTAGTGTTGGCTTTACGATGGTAATCTTCCTTGGCAGGGAATTTGCAGAACACACATTCAGGAGAGGGCTCTTCAAATTGCCCAGAAACAGGACAGCTCAACGACAGTACTTCCTCCCAGGTCTCCAGCTTCAGGTACCCACAGAGCCATGGAGTTCACTGGCTCACTTCCGGCCAGGCCTTCTCCTTCTTTCTCCACTGACTTTTCTCTCAAAGTTGCTATCAGGATACCGTGGGAAAGAAGAGGGCCGTGTGTTGTGCCATAGGTTCATCGGGTTAAAGGCGGGTACAAGTGTTAATAAGAATTAGCAAAATAATTGGCATCCATCCAAATTCTGTAGCTCTACGAAACCAACAGTCCTGATTAAATTACTGTATAAAGGCATCTGATAACACTGCACAATACTACAGCTAAACATGTTTTCCTCTGTTGTCTCTACTTGTCTAATAATCATCATTATCATGCCAAGTTAATTCTGATTTATAGCAATACATTTCAGGGTTTCCCAGGTAAAAAGTACTCAGAAGTGGTTTGCCGTTCTCTTCTTTGGGGGACAACTTGGGACTTTGCAATTTATCCAAGGACACCCAGGTTGGATCTGCTCACAGATGATAATTTTATTTTATGTTGCTATGTTCTGCTGAATTTTATTATACTGTTAGCCACCTAAAACAGTGCTTTGTACTAATAGCGTGGTATATAAATGAAATCCTCCTCCTCCTCCTCCTCAGATAAAGAAGGCATCAGAAAATGAGGAAGTCAAGATCTTCTGGGATTTCCGGATCCCAACAGACAGACACCTTGAACATAACACACCAGACACAGTAGAAATAGAATGAAGAAATGTCTGGATCATTGGCATTGCAATTCCAGGGGATGCCAGAATTGAAAATTTAAAAACTGGAAAAACCAGCAAAATACAGCGATCTGGCAATTGAAACATCTCACTTATGAATAAAACACACTGATAGTCATTGGGGCTTTGGGAAAAATATCAAGAAATTTCACATGGTTTTATAAGCATTTGCAGATCTCAGAAATAACATCAGAGCTACAAAAAATGGCAATATTAGGAACAGCATACATACTGTGCCGATATTTAAAAGATACTTAGGTATTGTTGTTTTTTGGTTGTTGTTTTTGTAACAACCAGCATACATACTGTGCTGATATTTAAAAGTTACTTAGGGATTGTTGTTTTTTGGTGTTTTTTTTTGTAACAATAGGCACAGTGGGGAACCAAACTCCTAACTTCTTGCTCTGCAGCCAGATACCCAAACCACCGAGCTATCCTGAAATGGTTTCCCAATTTAAGTAGTGGCTGAAATTTAGCAGTGAGTCATAGCTAAAGCAGACCCAATCTATGGGATTTAACAGAGGAGCTGACTCACCAAATTCCTAATAAATCAGTGGGTCTACTGTAGTTGCAACATAGCACTGGATTTCGGACAATAAGAAAAGGATTAGCCAGATTGTACTCTAGACCTCTGGAGCCAATTTGTAGCAGCAAAACAAAAATGAAGCTACAGTGGTGGTGCTTCCTTTCTGCTGCTGGACTACAACAGCCCCCATTCTTGCCCACATGACATGCAAATGCAGAAGGATATAAGGAATGGCTGCAGCTCAACAATCTCTCATGTTCTAAGATTCTGGATCACTGAGTCTGAGGAAGGACAACGAGAGACATCATTTTTCTGAGCTGGAGAGTCATGCTATTCACAGGCTTTAGTAAAATGCTACTTACCCATAGGCATCTAGGGCTGGAATATGATAAGTACTTAAGAGATTTACCTTGCACTTTATGTTTTCCAAAGGCACAAGGGGAACAAGGAAGCTATGTTTTCTAATGCCTATTTGTTCCTCAGCCACTCTTATCTGTGTCTCCTCCTCCAGCAGCTGCAATAAGCAAATATACCCCACAATAGGAAGTATACCGGAGGGTAAATGGACAGGAAAGAAAAAGATCTGCAGCCTGGCAACTCTAAAAGAAAGTACACCCTCTTTGAATTCTATGGTTTTATGTATCAGAACATAATAAAAATCATCATCTTAGCAGGTTTGAAAATTAGTTAAATGCAACCTCAGATGAACAACAACACATGCCATATTACACCGTGTCATGATTTATTTTCCAAAAATAAAGCTAAAGTGGAGAAGCCATGTAAGAAAAACTAAGTACTGTACACCCCTGCTACTTCTATAGGAATTAAGAGGCTAAGTAGCAGCCAGGTGCTGCCAACCAAATGCCCTTGAGTAACTGATCACCATCAGTGACCACCTCTATAAAAGCTAAAGTTTCAGCAGTTTGCTGGTCTGGAGCATTCAAGTGTGTGTTAACACAATGCCAAGGAAGAAACATATCATCAGTGATCTTAGAGAATAAATTGTTGTTGCCCATCAGTCTGGGAAGGGTTAAAAGGCCACATCCAAACAATTTAAATACCATCATTCTACAGTGAGGAAGATTGTTCACAAGTGGAAAACATTCAAGAAAGTTGTCAATCTTCTCAGGAGTGATGCCTCAGCAAATTCAATCCAAGGTCAGACCATAGTCTGAGAAATTGCAAAAAACCCCAAGAATTACATCTCAGACTCTACAGGCCTCAGTTAGCATGTGAAATGTTAAAATTCATGAAAGTACAATTAGAAAAAGACTGAACAAGTATGGTTTGTTTGGAAGGGTTGCCAGGAGAAAGACTCTTGTCTCTAAGAAGAACATGGCAGCACAACTTACCGGTAGGTTTGCAAAGTTGCAGTTGAAGAAACCACAGAACTTCTGGAACAATGTCCGTTGGACAGACAAGGCCAAATTGGAGATGTCTGCCCATAATGTTTTTATGTTGCTTTCTTTTTGGTTTAATTGACTGATGGGTTCATTTGATTTTTATAATATTGTTAGGTTTATGTGGTTATTATTTAATATATTATTGTTTTTTATTTTGTTGTGAATTGCTCAGAGTGGCCTTAGCAGCTAGATGGGCGGTATATAAATCGAATGAATCATCATCCCCTCCATTGGCACAGGCCTTGTTGAGGTGGAGGGGCTTACATGCTTCAGTGAGGCTGAGAGTTATGCTGACAGAACTCAGCTGAGAAGCCAGACCAACTGTGTCCACCAACCAGAGGGAATGAACAGAAATCCATACAGGATCAGTTGTCACCCAGGTCAACAAGGACCACATCAGATGCTAGAATCCCTGGGCATTTGGTGACAAATGGGCTACAGGGCTTAGCAGACCCTGTTGAGGAACCAGGCCGGGTTGCTGTAAAGCTACTGGAACAACGTAAACACAAAACTTGGGACTCTTGCCGAAAATTGAGAAATTATGAAATGTTATTACGAGGCAAACTCAACAGACCATGGTTTTCAAAAAAGAATGATGGAAATTTGGAAAAGGAAACATCCAACTAGTGACATAACTGAACAACAATTAATGGGCCAGAGAAGGTTTATAATCTGGAGTAAAGTATTTTCAGAACTGGAATTGCAAGAACTAGAAAAGGTGGCAGAAGAAAAATCAACAAAGTACAATGCAAATAGTAAGAAAGACAAATGGAGGGTAGAGGTAGACACAGTAGTGAAAGAAACCATATCAACAGAGGAACAATTTATGGAACAATCCAGAAATTATGAGTTGATAGAATGGAAAACATCACTGAGGAGAAAAATAGTAAACAATATTAGTTAGAACGCAGAAAGACAAAGGCTCCCCAATTTGCTCGAATTACAAAGTAAATTAGTAAATGATCTACTGAATGATACAAATGAAGTTCATCAGAACAATCCCAACCAACACGCTACAGGAAACAAACCAGCTCATGTATAGCACGGCTATCATAATAACCATGGAACTTGGTTACAAACTGCAAAAAAATCCAGAAAACTCCTGGCACTCCAAAATGGAAAATTCATCTGGAAAGAAAATCAAACTACCCTATTTTTTGCTCCATAAGACACACCAAATTTTTAGGAGAAGAAAACAGAGAAAATTTAATCTGTTTTCTTCTCCTAAAAATTTGGTGAACCTTATGGAGAGGTCCATCTTATGGAACACACCCTAGCCACCTCTGGCCCCGTGGGGGTGGGGAAGCCTCCAAAGGGTCCTAGGGTGTGTTCCAGGACCCTTTGGAGGCTCACCCTGCCCCCCATGGGG